GAATTCATTTCCTTCTTAAAAAAATATAAAATTCCTTTTATATTTCATTCTCCATTCTATTGTCCTCAAGTAAACCCTACTGAAAGGTACAACAGAACAATTATTACTGCTTTAGCTGCCCTCGTAGGTGATGACCATAGGAAGTGGGATAATCACCTCCCTAAAATCCAACATGCGTTGAACAGTTGTGTGAACTCCATAACTGGTTATACGCCTAACTTTTTGGTATTTGGTCGTGAAACAATTCCCTGCGGCTCTTTTTATACCTCAGCTCGAAGTATCGAAGAAGTTACCTTTCTACCTCGCGATATTTACTCTGAAAATGCTGGATTCCTCTCATCTATTTTCGACAAAGTTCAAACTACCTTATACCTTGCTCACGCTAAAAACAGTGCACGCTATAACCTACGTCGCTCATTCAAAGAATTTAATGTCGGCGATATGGTTTGGCGAAAGAACTATGTGCAAAGTAATGCAGGTTCTTACTTTAGCGCTAAGCTCGCGCCTAAATTTCTTAAATGTAAAGTTGTTAAGAAAATCTCACCTTTAGTGTATATATTAGAAGATACCAATGGCTCTAAAGCTAAATGGCATATCAAAGACATTAAAATCTAAAACTCATACCTCGTTCACCGCATTAATTCATTCTTAACCATTCATTCATTTATCACTCAAATCATAATCTCTAAATTTAATATTTTTTTTGTTTACCCTAAAGCTCTTAAGCTCTCTCAACGTCTATAAAAGACGTTAACCTTTAAAATTTACCTCTATTTTTCTATAGAGTACTTTTCTCCAGTGCTCTACCTTACTTAACCTCTTTAAAGGCAACTAAAGCCTTTACTTTAACCTTTACCTAAGACTACCCTAATGGTCTTCTCTACCTTAACCCTACATTCTTAAGTACTAAATGATACTTCTTTCCGAGCGGCTGACTACTCGTTAAAGAAGCCTTAGGTCCGAGCGGCTGACAACTCGTTAAACAAGCCTTAGGTCGGAGCGGTTAATTACTCCTAAAAGAAGCCTAGGTCAATATTTTTTTTTCCACTTATGGAGCGGTTGACAACTCCCTAAATAAGCCTGTCGTTATTAAGGAACACCCTTCTAGAGTGGCAGTCATTGATCGTGAACTCCACCCTTACCTGTATGAAGTTGAGGTATGATAGAAGAGGAATGTGTATTTGTATGAATGGTTGTATGTTTCTGCGAAGTAGTGTTCCTCGGATCTCTTTTGGCCTTTTCTTTAAGCAAAATTTTCTCTAGTCGAAAATTTTCTGGGGTCGTGGGGGAAAATGTAACGTACCTTAATATGGTTTCGACTCATGGTTTCGATTATCATAGGTTCCATTTCGCACATTTTATCATACAACATCATCGATATTCATCAGGCATCATCATATATTTTATCATTTATTCCTGGAAACACATAATTTCAAAAATATCACACACTATTCATCACTTTGTAAATACGTATAATAATTTCTTCTGTACTGAAAATCACTATTCCAGAGTGCTGGACACTTACCGGCATTTCTCTTTATTCTGTTATTTACTTGTTTTCACTTATTATGCTTTGATTTTATCTATATTTAATTTATTTATTTTATTGACATTTTATGACAACCTAATGTTTTTATCCGTTGCCATGGCTACCCATGACACGGATACTCTCTCCAACTACGTCTATGACTATTCAACCTCCACAGACCACTTACTTTGATTCTTTTTGGCTCGATTCGAACCGTGTCTAAATTCAAATGGTTCCGGACCTATAAAAGGCCGAGCCTCCCTGATCATTTTATTCAATTCTACGGCAAAAGTTGCCTACTCAACTTTTGAAAGCTCGCTACCGAGCTCTAAATTAATAAAAGGCCTTGTCCCGGGGCCGACTGCCCCGGGACTCAAGAAAGACCTCAAAGCTTTTTAGCACCTATTGGCTCTTTAAACAACTTCCTAACTCCAATACTATACTACTATACACGTTCTCACAACCTCATCGGTGGGACTGCGCCTGGTCTCCAGCTTCTTCGGCCAGCCTCCAGCTGCTTCAGCCCGCCTTCTACCGACTCCTGCCGTTTCTTCAACGCCCGCCTCTGGCCGATATACGCCGGCCAAACTACCAGCAGCGTCGCCAGCAACCACCAGGGGAGGCCAAGATCTAAGACGGCTGCACAGGAGCGCTTCTGCCTCCAAGGAGCGCCGTCCATCTACCTGTAGCACGACCTACCGTTCAAGCTGCCCCTGAAGATCGCCGACGACCCACGCCCTACCGTTCAAGCCGCCCCTGAAGATCGCCGACGACCCACGCCCACTTCACAACTCACACTACACACATATTCCATATATTTTTTTTTAATAATCTGTAAATACTAATTTATCTTGTAAATATATATTCCTATACTGTTCTTTTGATTTTTCCTTCCTTCCTATCTAGTTTTATTTTGTTGCTACACAACAGATTATATCGTACTTACCTAACTTTATATTCAATTGATATCTTATCATCTCTTACTAAAACGTTCCTACCAGAATGATCAAATTACTCATTTCTATAGGGACGTTATGGACACTGATTTTTTCCAGGAATGTTGTATAACTTTTACTGCCAAATCAAGCTCCCTAAACGTTAAATAAAACTAGTGTAGGTTTTATATTTTACCAAAGTGGCGCAAGATCGGGGCAAAACTGCATTGAAGTATCTACATTTGACTTTCTCGAACTTTTTTTTTTATACGTAAGTACTTATAAAACTTGTGCAAACAAAATAGTGGATTTAAATTGTAGCACAGTACTCATTGTAGTTAGTATAAATATATTGTGTTTATTCGTTAAAGGTCGACTGATTTCTGTGAAAATTTTATGTGAAGAGAACATGTGCTACCTTCCGTGGTGCTACCTATTTAATTTTCCGAATAATAATTTGACAAGTTGGAAAAACATGTTTTGCAGTTTACGACAATCTGATATTTACTGAAGTGGCGCATTTTAATGAATTTAACAAAACATTATATTCACTATTACGGTATAAGATATATATCTATATCTTTTTCATTTCCTAGTAAGTATAAAACGACAGCATTAAAAACTGCAAGTTGCTAACCCAATTATTGTGATGACAATAACTTTACATGCTCTTCTTTCTCCGTAATCATTTTAAATTAAAATTTATGTTAAATTGCTCCCTAATATTACTTTATTACAGAGCAATCAAAAACCTTTGTTTTTTTTTTAAATAAATATAAATTGGCCTAATATTAAAAAATAACTCATTATGATGAACAAGGAATCAAATCATATTAAGTTCATATATCAAATTGAACGGAGGTCTAATGGTAATGGTACTGAGGTATCTTGTTTAAAGTAATAAAATAAAAAATAAAAAAGTAAGTCATCGTTAAGTATCTAATATACAAATACTTAGTTTATACTCTACTTGCAAAACGCAATTTCAATGATGAAAATAATTCTAGCTGAATAAAATTATAAGAAAAAGTGCATGCTATAAAGCTACTGAAAGGTGCTTCACTCCATATTTTGTTGTAAGCATGTGGTAACTGGTGTTTTGATTGTGCATCTCGCACTACAACCCGCTAACTAATTTTTTAAGCAGAATATCCAGATTAAAAATTCTTCATGCGTCTTTAATTGCTAAATGGGTCATTTTTCTTTTCTATCTAAAATGATATGACCTTCTTATAGAAAAAAATATAATTATAATTAAAAATGGTTATGTTGTTGTTGTTTATTAAGTATTTTAAAGCTTTCTACTACTGCATATTTAGTGTTTACTTTCTTTATTGTTTAATAAAGAAAGTAAACACTAAATAAAGTTCATATTGTGACAGACTACAGTATTTTTTTGATATTTGTAACAGAGCTCCGCTTTAATTTATTTATTTAACAAACTTTATTGACCACTATCAAATGGTATAAAAGGCGGACTTAATGCTAAAAGCATTCTCTACCAGGCAACCTTTAGTAAAAACGGTAAACACGAACTAACTAATTAACTTTTGAGCTAGGCTTAAGAAAATATCTGTAATTAAGTGAATAATAAATATAAAAGAAATGAATATATATTTTAAATAAGCACCTAATAAAGATTCTAATACATACAAGTTGTTTGTGATAGAGGTCTGATTAAGAAGACACTAATTCTGCTAAAACTTTAAAAATTTGAATAATTGGTAAAACTTTGATACATGGTTTTTTACTTAAATATAATTTTATGAGTATACGAAATACACCATTTTATGAAGGAAAAAACCCAATATTAATTTTATATTTTTTTTTTGTTAATAAATTGTAATTTATGTTTGTCGATAGAAAAGAAGAACGATACAAATACTAAATCGAAAAAAGTAACTGGTTTTATTCCATATTTAAAGGAAAGTAAACAAGCTTAAGGCCCGCCTGTTGCTAAACGGCCACCATATCCTATCTTGAGATACAAAAAATATCAGTCGCGCCGTTGCCTATCCTGACGAAATCCCCTACCCCGTGGACGTAGTTGTGGTGGTGGTTGAAGCGATTGTAAGCTTTATTCCGCTTTGAACCCACTTATTGGAAAATAATTTAAATTCGAGGTAGAGCCACTAATATAATTAATTATAAATCCGATTGACATCCTAAATGAATGCACATTAGGATTTGTAGGATAAACATAAGCTGCATAATTTTGGAACGTAACAATGATGGAATGAGGTGTCCAAAAGTTCTAATATTGGGGACGTCATTTGTAGGTGTTTAAAACAAGTGTAGTGGAAGATGGAAGATATATAACAAGTTTATTCATTAATAATGTAATAAAGATATTGTGTTTCGATCTGAACATTTGTTTTTATGAAACAAAAGTTACAAAATAAAAAAATGGAAATTCGCTCAGAAAAGTTTAAACGAAATCTATATTATTTAAGTAGTGTGTGTCTTCTTTTGGTACCTATTGAAACCAATTGTATCGATTAATGTTTTGAAGTTTATATTTGTAATTAAAAACTTACCGATAGTTTTTAAAATCTGAAGGTCATCTAATTCATATTCTTTTTCCTCTTCTGTGTACTCCGATTCTGTTGTGGTAGAGTCCTGCTCTTCCGTAGAGGATTCCACGGATAGGGACCGGATATCAGAACTCAGGTCCGAGCTACAGTCCCTCACCAATTTCGCACTGGCCATCATCATTTTGAAAACGTCACTTTTACTATTATTTCAACAACAAAAAAAAGGTAAACTTTCAGGAATTACTACAAATATTTACTGTGCATTTTCGTACAATTATTTTAGAACGAGATTTCTATTTAATTAAACCGGTTTAACTATTGTTTTTATTTAAAATTAAAGTTCGGAGAAGAACGCGCGAACTTCGCCCATAGATTCCGACGTCGGTCGATCGCGTTCTCTCTCTACAATGATACGAAACTTACTGGCGAACTCATGCACGCACGGCAGTCGGCGCGGCTTATAGTCGCGTATGACGATCGAGATCATAAATGTAGCACGCTAATATAACTCGCTCACTTGTCGCTCTCAAAAGATTTCTACAGTATTTTACAGAATGATATCATGATTTACAAAAAGGAACATTAGGTGCCTCTTTCAACAACAATAAAAGTAGTACATGAGAAACAGGAATTTGAGGAAATTTGTTACGTTAATTTAATATGATATGCTACCGAAGTTCACCAAGGACAGCAAAACAATACACTGCAAGGTACTTTCATGGCAGTCAATTCAACAAAACCACACACGACAAGGGACGGAAGTGTCCTCTCAATTTTCACTAGTACCCAGGAACAATAAAAGTGAAGGATTAGTGACACCTGTGACACCCATTTTTCAACAAAACTAGGTAGGCAAAGACCTAGAGATACCTATATGTGGCCACATAGGCCTTCTAATGGTAGAAGCTTGGCTCTACATGAGTTATAATAACTTTTTGACATTCTGAGTCGTATTATATTTCGATTGAAAATAAGGTTACTTTTTTAAAATAATAAATAAGGGAAAAAATTAAAAGTTTTGAATCGAAACCAATCACCAAAATTCATGAAAAAATATCTTTTTTTGTATTATAATAATAAAAGAAATTAAAAAGGAGATTTTGTAGGGATTTCATCGAGTGCGGTTGGCGTCTTATTTTAATTAATCTTTAATTCGTTCATAGTGGATATTGTGAAATAAAATTGGTGTCATTTTGAGTTACAACCGTCTGCACAACTGAAGAATCTTTAAAAAATACGCTTCCGGTCAAGTGGACGTGAGAATTTTATTGTAGGGTTAACTAACTCACCTTAAGCTTATCGAGAAAGCAAAGAGTCAACAAGCCGACCTATATTTGCTTTGTGCATTTCTACAAGGTATTTGATCAGATTTGACAAGTGGCCTAAGCCACTTTCAGTAAAGTGTTTCAGAGCACTTTACTGAAAATGGGCACACCCAAACATGTTGTACACCTTTTGAGGTATCTCTACGAGAATGGAACAGCAATGACATATTGTTTCACGCCAGTGCCGGAGTCCGCCAGGGATGTATCATCTCTAAACTTTTTTTAATATTTACAGTGGGCTCATCGTGAGGATTGCGCTGGAGAACTGGCAAGATGGTGTCGCAATTTGAGTTTTGACTATTTCGAACCTACGCTACGCGGATGATACCACTCTATTCGCAACCAGTATTCCTCACATAAGTACAAGATTTATTAGCTATAATTTAAAACGTCAGCAAGTAATCCAGACCAAAACAAAGATGATGATCATCGATCGAGCCACTAACAACTCGCTAGAAGTTACACAAATCGCGAACTGTGATGTGGTCCAATCGTATGTATATTTGGATGCGTTAATTACTAATAATGGCGGGTAGATCGATGAGATCAAACGTCGTATGGTTATTACTGCTATAGATATTATAGATCTGCTATGGAGACTGAAAAAGATATGGAAGAACCGTAACATAACGAAAGACACGAAGACCCGGCTCGTGAGAATACTAGTGTTTCCCATATTTTTATATGGCTCACAAGCGGAGCTCTCGTAATTTGGTGCTGGAAAAGAATGCTTGGAATATCATGAACTGAATTTCGAACCAAGATTTCAATTCTTCAAGATCTTGGCATCAAGCAGCAGTCTATTCCAGAAACGAACTATTTCATAGGTAGCTTCAATAACAAGGTACAATATTTAGTTATTAATTCACTTTAAAAATAAATAATTAATTTGAAATAAAATACATAATTATTTTTAGGGGCTCCCATACAACAGGCTTGATTTTTTGCCGCTTTTTGCTCGACATTTTGTTATAGTCTCTAATGCTGTATAGAATGGTACGGAACCCTTCGTGTGCGGGTCTCACTAACACTTGGCCGGTTTTTTAAATGTGTTTTATTCCTTTTGAAATGCGTGTCATCCTGTTCTGATTTGTTCACTTTTTACCATTTTAAATTTTGTTATAGTCTCTAATGCTGTATAGAATGGTACGGAACCCTTCGTGTTCGGGTCTCACTAGCACTTGGCTGGTTTTTAAATGTGTCCTTTTCCTTTTGAAATGCGTGTCATCCTGTTCTGATTTTTTATCCATTTTCAAAGGCATCTGCATTGGTCTATCATCTCATATACGAGTTGAAAAATAATTAAGTACTAAAAAAATAGTTTGTTTACCAATTTTATTTCTATAACAAGCATAACGCAATTATCGTAAAATTAAGCTAAAGATATACATTGTTAAATAATAATATCACTTTGAAATCCGATATATAACGTTACTCTTTTTGGAATAAATAATCTTTACTATCTAGTTCTACTTACATGGCTTTGGAAACCTATGTTACACGACTAAATTACATGATACATTTTATTACTTATACTGTTATTTTTTCAATTTATAACACAAATTGTCTTTGATGTAATGCAGTATACATACATAGAAGTATAGCAGTACCATGAATCAAGCATAAGCTTTTGAAACAAATCACGGTAGAATTGTATTTTTGATGTGTAACATCCTCTCGCTTTCGTTCAATTTGTGGGAGTGATTACGTGAAGTGGGAATGGAAGTGTGTAACAGGAAGTTTGGGAAGCGCGCGCTATTTGATTTGATTTTAGAACATAATGTTCAAATGGCTTATTCCTTTTGTATAGGTTTTATTTCTTTTTTTACTAATATAAGGTGAGGTTTCAAATGTTACACATCATACGCGACTACTGTAAGGCTCGCTCGTTTTTTGTTTTATGTTTAAACCAGCTTATGACCCGCCTAGTAGTAAGAGGACACAATAGCCTATAGACATTTGCGATACAAAATATATCATTCGCGCCGTTGCCTACCCCATCCCTTACCCCGTGGAGCCCTTTAGAGCCATTTTCACAAGACTACGTGCTTACTGCATGATAAAATGGAAAAAGAAGTGCTAAGTAATAATACAGTGTAATTATAAATTCAGATCAATGTAAAACAACGTATAACACACATAGTATCGTATTGATATGAAATTTAACAATATTTAAAAACAAATATATTATTTATTTATTTATTCTTCATTACCATAAAAAACAGTAAATGGCGGACTTAATGCCATAGGCATTCTATTAATGTATAACTTATTAATATTATTTTGAGACACTTCAGCAATCGCCTATTATTTATGCATGATTTAAAATTCCTTAATGATGATGAATACAACTTAAAAGGGAAATACTTTGTAGAATAGTTAAAATTAAATGGTAGAAAGCCAAATTGATTAATAGGTACTTTACACTCGCTGATAAAATATTAAATATTTAATGTTAATGACAGTTATTAATTGCTTTCTTTCTCTACACCTTTCTTAGTCAGTTTCTACATTTACTTTCGTAAACATTTAATTTAGTATACATAAGACTAACTTAAAAAAAAAGGAGCTAAAATCTTACTAGCCTCAGCCAAGTGGCCCAAGAGTGATGTTAAACGCTTAAAATAAACCTAACATAAAACTAAACAATGCTTACATTAACTGTGATATCAATTGCATACTTAACTCAGTAAAAACGACGCTTATACATTTACAAAACCAAAAAAACGAATATATATAATAACTTATATAATGTACACAAAGTATGTACAACAAAATTAATTGTAAATTCTATGGCAAGCTGAAACTGATACTTATTTCTGATTGTGAAATTTATTTCTCTTAAATCTTACTATGAATTAAATAAGTTTCACTAGTTTAACAAAACAATAACAACCTAACTTAAAGAAACACAAAAAAAAATTTATAAGCTTAGTTCAGTTAAATGCACAATATATATAACATATTGCAAACAGTCTGATAAAACAATTGCTTATTCTGATAAATCACACTTAATCTCATATTGAAAGGCCGTTTTCCTTTTGCATATAATATTTAAAGCAATTATAATGAATCAAGCTTGCACAAAATTAACGACAGTTAAGAATATGAATCCTTTTATCTGAATACTTGGTGGAAAAAATATTGCGATTCACCACTTTAAGCCTAATTCATAAAGATTACAACCAGCTCAAAGATTCATATGGCTAGTAGATGCACAAATTCCAAACAAAACACAGCATAATATAGTATCATAGAGTTTTGAACATGAAAATAACGCCGCTATGAGTCGCAACTGCGGCCCAATCGTGGTATTTTTCCGATGTGCAGTATGCCATTGACGTTACATCAGCTAATGGGAAACGTTCTGGTAACGGTTCCCTGAGGGCGGTCGAAGGCTAAAAAGTAGAAAAATAGTACATATTACAGATTTGCAACGGTTTTATGAAATAGGTCAAAGTTTGAGCGAGTAAAGTACTGGACTTATACCCCCTTATTAATAAACAAGGAATAAAGTTACGTCGTGTTTTGTTCATGTCACTCAAATGCCATTTGTCATTCAATAGACAGAGACAAAACATGGATTAACATGGCTACGGTTTACATTATCCAAGTGGCATTGCATCACTGGATTAAATTATGAATGGAAAAGGGTGAACATTATCTTATCAAGTTATTTCCTTGCTCCATGAAGTGACAATAGAAACAGGTAATGCAAAATAGTTTTAAATTAAAATTTAAACCAAATTGATACTTTAATTTCCGTAACAAAATTCCCGAAATAAAAAAGCACTACTACACGCATCTAATGATCAGCGCTTTTGTTTATACGTTTACTTGCTGACCTTGCAAACTTCGTACTGCCTAACATACGATAAATATAGTTGGTTATCTTTAAATTATTATAAATTATATTAACGAAGTTTATGCAGAAATTAAACAAATAGAACAGTCCAATAGTTTATTAGAATAATATATAAATAGAGTAAATGAAAATTCAGTAATGTGTACTTCAATCGCGTTTCAGCAACATTTAAAACGGAGCTAATTGTTTGCTAGGTCTTTGCCAATACTTACACAATTTCAGAAATAAAAGGAGTTAAGTAACAATAATTTTTATTTTTTTCCCGAACTTCGCCGTAAATTATTGCAAAATTACTGAATCGAATTTGGTGTACAAATTAGTAAAATGAATAACCAGTTTCATAAGCTTTCCAAAAAGGAAAGATTTGAGGGAGAGGTTATAGGCAAATGCCGAACAAATAAAAACCTCACTTTCAACGCGAGTCACAGTGAGTGTAGTACGTCAGCTTTCAGAAAAGTATCTCTTATCTATTGGACAAGTCCGTCCGTCCGTCTGTGGTGCTGTTTCAAAGACCAAACCGTAAGAGATAGATAAATAGAATATTTAAGTTATAAGTTAAGAATAGTCTGATAAGACTACAAACCGGATTTGAGTAACGTAGCACTTCCAGTTTTCGAGAAATCACGAATTTCAAACGAAACCACACAAAATCTCCGAAGTTCTCAATTAATTAAATCAGGTTTTGGTGAACATTTGGTTCACTGGTTTTCTAGTCAATTTAATATTAAGAGTGGAGTAGTTTATTCACAATTACTGGTTTTTGGCAGCAAGTTTAGAAAAAATCAAAAAAATCGAAGAATCGTCACAACTTGGTGACCATCCAGTTTTGACCCCTAGTTCACATGACTTAATTGGTTGCTAATGACCTCAAGTATAATTTTCATGGAATAAGTTGAGTTTTCCTGTCACCCTGTATATCTAGAAACTAAAACAAATAGAGTAAAATTTATGTCATGTTGAAATTAAAACTACGATAAGTACAGTATAGAATATCTAGATGTCATCTCAGTACCAAAATATCGAGAAGTATTGCTACGTGTCTTATGTTTACAATATTTTGTGTGGAGACGAATTCATAAAATCAGACCTCATAAAAATCGGTCCAGCCGTTCTTGAGTTATAAGTATTCTGACTAATGCACAATGTATTTTAAATAGAACCTTACCCTGCAACCAGTTTCTATGTGTTTGAATTCCACCGCATATTGTCTAATGGCGCTATCGTATGTAATGGGCTCCATTTTCACAGATAACTCGTCCATCTTCTGTTTACTTTTACTGCTTTTGTCGTTGAGTGGCACCATATTTATGTATGCCATGCTCTGTTGAAGAAGACAATATATATAGGCAATACATAAGAATTCGTATTAGTTTTATATTTTATAGCGATATTCAAACGCACAAACGTAACATAGTTGACATTAAGTGTAAATTCTGTACATCTACTACTGGTAAAAGTACCCTAGAAAACAAATAACAAAGTGGAGCGGGTTTTTATAATAAGTAAAAAGCGTTCAAAACTGTTTTTTAATGAAAGGTGTGAGCAGAAGAAGTGCCTTATTTCCATAAAGGAACTTTTAAAATCGCTTCATTATTAACAACTTAAAGCAATCTATGTATTTTGGATTCATTACAAAATTTACTATCTGGAGCTCCTCTGTGCTTCGGAAGGCACGTGTAGTCGTTGGTCTAGGCTGCATCTGCAGTCGTTAGCACCCACACATCCGCTCTAGGTCCGCATCATGCGAAGCCCAATCTCGCTATTCCAGCCATAGGTACGGCCTGTGCTCCAGCAATGAGGACATTAATAGACTGGCGATGATGACGATGCTGATGACACATATCAACTTGGAACGGGATCGATACTAACTCGCCTTTCGGCTTACCGTCAACAAGCGTCCACCTAACGTAAGCGGATAAGCAGTTCCAGTACGTTCGGATTAGCTACGGTTAGGCATGCGTGAAAGAGAGCCATCTCTTTGTATTCTCCCAATATTCTGTTTTGAGACATCTCTTTTTCTTAAACTTCAAGTTAATCTCCTTATTCCATCGATGGCGAAGGCCAGTGTTCCAGCTGTGGGTACATTAATAAGCTGATAATGATGATGGTGTACGTGTGTACTGACCTTGATGAGCTGCACGCAGGGCGAGTTTGAGCTCACGAAAACTATCAAAGTTTTCGTAATTGTAAATTATGTTTCTATGTCCATTTTGGTGAAAAGTACCCAAATATACTTAAGATTTTAGAAAACGCAAATGATTTAATGAAAGAATTTAAACACTGTTTATTTGTATTGAAACTAAAACAATAAAATCAGTACCCTTAGTACCATAAAAAAAACTATCATAGTTTTCGTAATAATTGTAAAACTCGTACTAAGGGTATTATACGCAGGGCGTGTAGTTCTTGGTGGAGCGCAATAAGGGGGGCGCGAACTCCAGCAGGCGGGGCACGCTAGGGACATATTGCGAGGCAGAGTAGCTCGATAGCGCAAGTGGTTAGCGCGTTTAGTCGATTGTTGAAGTTAGGGATGGCGGAGGCCTGTGCTGCAGCAGTTGGGACGTTAACAGGCTGATAATGAGGATGGTGTGCGTGTGTTCTGACCTTCTTGGAGAGCTGTACGCAGGGCGCGTAGTTCCTGGTGGAGCGCAATAAGGGGGGCGCGTACACCAGAAGACGGCCGCATGTCAAACATGAAGCGCTCGTACACATCACGCCCAAGCGCCGTCCACCGCCATGCCATTCCAACTCGTTGGGGGACTGGTGCACTGAATAACGACAATGGGGATATAGTGCGATTGAAACGTAATGGCACGATTACACTTGGTCGCTAGCCCGAATACGAATGCCAATGGAATTTGGGTAAACGACTACGGAGCGTAAATGAACGGAGTCGAGTATGCCCGTATTCGGGTAGTTTTTGTTTTGGTTATCCGACACCGTTTTTCATCCAGTATTCCAGTGTAAATAATACTTTGTGTGCACGAATTCAAGTCTTTCGTGCACACGAAAACGAGCTAACGACAAAGTGTAATTGAGCCGACAATGGGGATATAGTGCGATTGAAACGTAATGGCACGATTACACTTGGTCGCTAGCCCGAATACGAATGCCAATGGAATTTGGGTAAACGACTACGGAGCGTAAATGAACGGAGTCGAGTATGCCCGTATTCGGGTAGTTTTTGTTTTGGTTATCCGACACCGTTTTTCATCCCGTATTCCAGTGTAAATAATACTTTGTGTGCACGAATTCAAGTCTTTCGTGCACACGAAAACGAGCTTACGACAAAGTGTAATTGAGCCATAATGATGGCTATGGAGTCAATGCAAATCGCGGCGTAGTATTCAAAATGAAGGGGGATGCACACGGGTTGACACTGAAACCTTGGAAATTTGCGCTTGCTGCTAACTTCACATTCTTCACATGCCATATTGTTTGAATCGCACTTTAGTAGAATAGTTCATTAAAATATTTATTATCACAAAGTAAAACTACAAAGATAATTTTCTGTAAAAATAAAATTATAATCAGTCATAAAATAAAGCAGCATATTATGCGATTCAAATAACAATAGGACCGACTGGGCGCCATATTGTGATGTCAAAGCTGTCAATTCAAACCAAATAGGTAGAGTAAGCAAAAAAGTTTTTATTTAATAAAACTTATTTACTACACATACATACATACACATTATTTTACATTACATTTGTTTTTATGCCTAAACAATAGGACACGGCATTCCTAAACTTTTTTTCATTTTTAAATCTGTTTTTTATATTTTTTATTTTATAGTCATAATTGTTTTATCATTTACATTTGTAATGGAAAGTGACTTCATGAGTTATCTCATATTGAAGTCATTTTTCAAATTGAGGACTCTGTATATAATACAGGGAGAAAAAAAGAGCAAAAAAAAGAGCAAAAAAAAAAAAAAAAAAAAAAAAAAACAAAACCCTTGCTGAGTTTCTTGCCGGTTCTTCTCAGTACAAGGTCTCCCGCCGTAGATTTGCGAACCGATGGCGTAGCTTAGATTCACAAGTGCTTGTAACAGCCTACACTGAATAAACGACATTGAATTTTTGAATTTTACTAAGATTGAGAGAGAAAAAGCATCAGATTTTTTTAATAACATTTATTTACTAAGATTGAGAAAAAAAGCCCACCGATTTTTAATAATATTTATTTATTAAGACTGTGAGAAAAAACATTAATCAGAATCTAGCTCTTTTATTCCGCTCATCTCTGCATTACCGCCGGATTAGTTATGAATAATCATGCACTATTACTAGATCACATACGAACATGTAAACGAAAGTTTGAAATCGAGTTTCTGAACGCAACTTAAAGTCACATTTGGTTGACGATTTAGGTTATCAACCATTCATGGCGAAAGCTCAATAAGTGAAAAAAAATATCAACCGATATTAATTATCAATTTTTGTTATTGTTTGTTAACATGTGTTTGGTTTTTATTCTTGAATTAGCAGAGTGCTAAAAAAGGGTTCCAAAATTTTTTTTGCAAATCGTACTTTTCAAGCGACATTTGACATATAGAGGTCATTGGCTTTCCTATTCTTATTTGAATCGCATTATAAGTATAGCATTTTTATTGAAACTTCCATAACAAATGGGAGTTTCGTGGCAGCAGTTTGATGATGCTTATTGCGAATACGCCATACCTAAGTGGTGCCGTTCGTTAAGCCGTTGGTCCTGACTGTATCTGCATACCCATCAATTCACACTGCGTCCGAATAGTCGCTATTCAATTCATAGTGAAGACCTGCCTTCCAGCAACGGGGACTATAAGCTGTACCCCTAGCACGAACCAACATCGAATTCGTATCGTTTGCGAGTCCGAAAAGTCATTGTCAAATGTGTACTGATTTTTAGTTCCCTTTACGTACTTTGTGGCGCTGCTGTTCAAGTTTCCATACAAAATTTGACATTGACATTTCGGTTTGCAAACTATTCGAATTCGATAATGGTTCGTGCTAGGGGTACTGATGACGACTATCGAGTGACGTCACGCGCGACGAGCGCGGTGGAGCCGCCCCGTTCGCTGTCACATTATACTGTTCGGTTGCTTGGACACTAATCAGCTGACGGTGATCGTTACCTAGTCAGTCGTCGCGGGCGAGCAAGACGCTGGGCCAAGCGGGCGTAAAGGCTGCATAAGTCGCGGGTGAGTGTGAAGTCACGCGGGACGGATGAGCCACCCCGTTCGCCATCACCTTATACTGTCCGGCTGCTTGGACACTAATCAGCTGACGGTGATTGTTACCTAGTCCGTCGTCGCCGGAGAGCAAGACGCTGGGCCAGGCGGGTGTGAAGGATGCATGAGCCGCTGGTTCATGTGACGTCCCGCGGGACGGATGAGCCACCCCGTACGCCATCACCTTATACTGTCCGGCTGCTTGGACACTAATCAGTTGACGGTGATCGTTACCTAGTCCGTCGTCGCCGGCGAGCAAGACGCTGGGCCAGGCGGGTGTGAAGGCTGCATGAGTCGCGGGTGAGTGTGACGTCACGCGGGACGGATGAACCGCCCCGTTGGCCATCACCGCGCCCGTGGGACACGTGCCGCTTATACTGTCCGACATCGGGCCCACGCCAGGGAACGAGTCCACGGCTGTAACCGAACAAAACCTCTATTATATTTTCTTTGCTGTGAAACATATATTCTGGCAGTTGTGAGGGCTTCTTGGTACGTTAATCCACTATAAAACGTACTAAGAAACGTCAAATTAATGCTTAATTAGGTCACGCGTTGTCTCATTCTAATGTTCGCAAGAAGGGCGATTTTTAAACTTTGAAAGTTTCAAGTTTGAAGAGCTTCTTATTAAGATAGATAGCCTTTGCTTTACCTCGCATTACTGTTTGAAATCAGAATATGAATAATCTATTGTTGTTGTTACACCTCCAGGAATTCATAATATATGCTAAACTAAATATTTTTTACTACAGTTCTACACTTTTCTATGTACGAACGAAATAAACTATTAAATAAAAAAAAATATCTGAAGGTAGGAAGAACGCCAGTATACCTGTTACACACGAATTGAGCGATCGCTCATCGTAGTACGAATATATTACGGTCACGCCATCTTCGGTAGTCTTCAACAACGGGGATTCGGTATTTAAATCGTACCGAGCCATGCTTCCGTCTGAGTAACCAACCACTATTTCAGCATGACCGTGTCTCTGAAACAAAGTGGTACTAAAGTTAAGTCTCATCTAAAATACTATTTACTGAAGTGAATTTTAGTCAAGCCAGTAGACAGAGAGCCGTCTCGTGTGACGCAATTTCCCATACCATGTAATAAATTGTTATAATTATATTATACTTTATGTCAGTGACCATGACCAATGTTTAATGTATTCAATAATAATTTTTAATGTATTTTTTGCACCTTTTTAACGTTTTACTCACCTTGGACCAAGAGATGGCTGTGGCTTGATATATTTTTCTATCAGATTTCTTAGAACACATTTTAAGTTCTGCTACAGGTTTCAATTTCACAAATAAATTATCGGAGCTGTAACAACAATGAGTATGTTGATTAGTTGATTAGATATATATATATATATATATATATATATATATATCTTATTTTATAATATATATAAAGATGTTTATTTTTTACATATAGGTCAAATTTCATGAAGACTGAAAAATATTTAAAGGTTACACATGTTTACACGAATGAAACAGCCGTTTCAATATAAAAAAAGAGATTTTAATATTAAATTTATCCCTACCATTTAATCTAGAAAATCCTAACTGTCTCAAAACATAGTCATTTATTATTTCGATTTTTTGAAGAGTTAGTATGATTTCTCATATTATTTTCTCTTTGAAGTGATGCAAATCACCACTGAGAGGACCTGACATCCATTTTTTCCGTAAGTTCCAAAGTAGCTATGCTTAATTTACTTGATAAAAAGTCTTATACGATAATTAATAAGATGATGAGAATCCGGTTCATGGGTTCTTGATGCGAAACGAGCGACATAATTTTACTACATTCGAAATCCATCCTGACAAACGAAGTTTTCCAAGAGAAGACCTAAAAGCTATAACAACTACCACTTCATCATCTAGAAGGTTCAATTAATAAATAAATAAAAATATTGTCAGGACCTCAAACGCCTTACATCAAACGAGGTGGATTACGTGAATGCAATGAAAATGGTCTATTTTATCAAAGTATATGACGTAACGACAATTTAAAGAAAGGAGCTGCGTGCACATCATTTCAGGCTAATATATGTTCGCTGTGGCTTTGTTGCATTAGCAATTTTAGCCGATGGGCTCCAAAGAATTCTCTGGAAATGCTATTTAGCTTTTGAGCACTTACCCCGATACCAACGTGAAACAAAATGCTCTTACAGTTTCCAAACAATAAAACACCTTACATCGATATTTGTCAGACAGATACAATCATAGGATTGCCTTTTTTAGCTGAACGTGTTATTCAAGATGTCAAGAAAACTATAATAAAATATTTAACATGCCAATAAAACAGAATCAAAAGGATCGGGGACAAGAACCTAACTTTTGAAGGAATTGACCTGAGCCTTTTCGTTTCTACTAAAAGTAAGATGTTTTTGAATCGTTTGAGATTGATTGTTCTATGTGACGTTACTGAATACTCTGGTGATTCAATGAAAAACTATGTGTATGCTCTTAAGGTTATCAATGATCATGCAGAAAGAGGAATTTCTTCTAACTAAAACAGTGGCTAACAATCGTCTAAATTACAGGAAAAAAGTAAACCTTGTGGCCGACAGGAATTGTGTACAAAGTAGGTTAATATAACACGACTATGATGCCCTCTTATTTTAATTTGTATATTAGATTTTATGTTTGTTATATGTATTGTTTATAAAAAAAAAACATCATTCTGTAAAATTATCAATTTGTGCCACCTGTGAATGTTATCGAATCTTCTTGAAATTTAGCATGGATAAGTTTTAGATCAAACATTTTTTTTGCCTATCAAAATGAAACGCCCTTATATATATTATAAAAGAAGAAACTGATTGGCTCACTGAATGATCAGCGCCCAGCCGAAACCACTGGGTCTAGAAACACTAAATTTTGTACAAAAGGAATTGTATTTGAAAAAATAACGTATTTTTTTATTTTATAATTCTAATTGTTTATTTTTCTGAGTACAGTCAGCTTTATATAAACATGTTAGGAGCAAAGGTTCAATTACATCTTTGCATTTAAAGTTATCTAAATATTGTTCACAACTAACCAGTCTTATATTTCTACAGATCAAAAGTCTCCGAAAACATATACACAATTACAATGATCTTTTCATCCCACCACCTCGGAAAGTGTAATTTTGCGCTTCGAAATCTGGCTGGAAAATTCTATTTTATTCGCTTGAGCGGCAAAGTAGATTTGAATTTAGAACATCACATATAATGAGTACTCAATATAATTGTAAATTCAAAACGTCATTAAACCTATTTAATGTAACCTCTATGGTGCCAAATTTATGATTAGAACTTTTTAAATTGTGAAAAAAATTAAATTTGGAACCTTCTTGGTTTCTTTGTTTTATTTGCGTGCTTCGCGCCATTCTAGTTTTTCACGTTTTATTGCTTAAATATTTTGTCATTATAAATTGTTTTCTTTTTCATTTTGTCATTTCCTCGCTGAGGTGGGATGAAAAGTTACGTATTGCACTCGAGTGGAAAGATTTTTCACCTTGTGCTCGTTTGTTTCCCTCGCTGACGCTCAGGATTCTAATTTAGAATCACTCGCTGCGCTCGTGATTCAACTTTAGAATCCTTCGCTTGCTCGGTCATCCAAATCGAGCACGCGGTTAAAAAGGAACTTTCCACTCTTGTATAATAAATAACTATTAATATGTACGCGTCGTAACTGTTCATTCAAAGACATCAATTACATCATGCACGAAATTTTAAAAAAGATAAATACCATAATACCTGAGCTTAGCGTTTATTTTTCTTTACAACCAAGATATTTATGATAACTTTTAGTGCTTAGATACCATTGAACAGTTATTCGCGAAAATATAATTGATTATCTTAAAACATAACATAATTATGAATTATGTTGTTTGGATAATATTGACCACTCTGACCGGTTTTAACAATAAGATTATCTAACAGCGCATATAAAATTGAATTTAAGTATCTTCGGTAATTTTGATCAGTCTTCACACTTCGATTTTTATTAAGTTGACTGTACCCAGAAGAGTACAAATTAAATAAATAAATATTTCCAACACTCACACCAATTAGCCTAGCCCCAAAGTAAGCACTGTAAGGCTTGTGTTATGGGATACTAGGGTAACGGATACTATACATATACTGTACATATATAAGTATATTTTTATTTAGAAATACATATGAAACATCCATGACTGGAGTACAAATGCTCGTATTCATCACACAAACATCTGCCACCACCGGGATTCGAACCCGAGACCTCTCGAGTCGGCGACACCATGAAACCCGGCGTACAAACCACTCGACCACGGAGGTCGTCACTAATCGTCGACGTAAAGTCGTCGTATAATTAAATCTAAATTTAGTACCCAAAGCACGAACTTTGACAGGTCTGTTTTCTTATCGCCATTGTCTATTAGAAACTAAGCAACACTGTATCGGTTGTAAGATCAAACTCTTTTTTTTTTCATAGAAACTTTTACTGGCGATACATATACTTTCTCGCTACTTGTTCGTGCTATATCGAGGCCTCTAGGCATATCAATTTAAGACATATTTAAGTACGCTGGGTTAATATGTATACTCAAAATCTAAGTGTACTTTTTATTTCAGTATAGTACAAGGCCTCTGAATTACCTCGCTGAAACTGAAGTAGGATATGGCACAGATAATATGTAAGCCGAACCATTGGAACAGGCGACAGCGAGAAGACCGAGTCTAGCCCAACTTTGACTTTCCGATTCTTCGTTGATATCGTCTCGAACGCCCGAGGGGCACCAATCCATACCCCACACGGTACCAAAGTTGTGAGCTATACCTAATGCCAACTTCGGAGGTGTCCTGAAAATTAAAACTTTTTGGTCATGCCCTTAATTTTTGTTAGAAATAAATTTTACTTTCAGCCCGGATAGCGGAAGATGCAAGTTCGAATTCATCCTGATGGATCACGTGGAATTTTTTCTAATAAAATTTTCTTTACATTTATAAATTTAGCGATTTAATAATAAAGCAAAATTACAATTAACTTAATTTAAACTTCATATATTTCCCAAGGACTACGCAGCAAAGTGGGCAGTATATTTATTCTTTGGTTATAAAGATTCTAGCAGTTAAATGTACAATATAAAAATATATACGACGAAATAAGAGAACTTCCAATTCTTTTAAGTTACTTAAAAAATAATAAATCGAATCTGCAGTTTTCTTAGGAATTTTCCTATAAATACTTTAACTGCACGCGTTGATTTATTATTCACGTTGTAAAGTTTGATACGTTAATTCAATTAGTGGGAAAATGGGAACAAACAGCAAGGGTAAAATCATACTCACGAAAAAGTGCCAACATCCCATAACTGTATAAGGCCTGGGTAAGACGGTGTATCGTCATAGTTAACCCTCGGTGTATCATTACCGGAGTGCCCGCTCACTGCGAGGTAATTGTTTACAAAATATTTGTCGGTTCCAAACCGAGTTGGGACCCAAGATATGCACTGAACACTGCCGCCCACAAACATGCTGACCACTAGATAGAAAGAAAAAATTAACTGGTAGTTAACACCTGTGATATTAACTTCGACGTTTGCTGATTATTATTAAAGTAATATAGAGTAAATAAATAAATAATATACTTAATACTAGATGACCAAACTGCTTTTTAGCAGTAATCATAATATGTAACCAAATCATTTATTCCCTTTAGGCTGTTACAAGAACTCATGAAAGTCTAGAAGCTACGTCATCGGTTCGTAAATCAACGGCGGGAGACCACGTACTGAGAAGAACCGGCAAGAAACTCAGCAAGGGCTTTTTTTCTCCCTGTTTTATTATTTACAGAGTCGTCAAGTTGAAAAATTACTTCAGAGCTGATTCATTGCATTATATTTTATCTTAATATTGATACAACTGATATTGTTAATGTTTTGGTTTAATTTATCTTTTGAAAATAATGATTAAGGGAGTTTAAAATTTACAAACCACGATTTGAATGACATCCTTCGAATTGTTCGTACACTTTCCAATTCCCATTGATTTGAATTTGACAAGATTGTAAAACTCTGGGTGAATAATCAGAAACTTGATTTGTCACAAAATGATATTGGGATATGTGCCATTCAGAAAATAATTTGTCTGTGCTCAAATTGGACTCACGGCTGAAAAGGCAAATTATACATTATCTATTATTATATTAAAAAAATATATTAAATCACAAAAATATAACTAACGACAGGATACTTACAAATTTTTCAGTAACATTTCATAATATCCCTTCCACGTATCGAATTGATGAGGCAACCAAGATGGTTCAAGTAAATCTGAAAAGTGTCAAACAAAATTGTAACACATATTAGCTTTAATATTACCAAACGTAACAACTATAGCAGCACGTCGACGTCAATTAAATTTAAGGGATATCAAAGTAATGTCTTAAGGTCTGTCTGTAAGGGATAAGTTCTATTCTATTCCTATCGCAAAATAATGAGGACCACGCACTATTCCTACACGAACGAAGAAATTTGGTGATTTTTCTTTGTCGTATTATTCGTAAGTGGAATTCTTTGCTCGCGCACGTGTTCCCTCCTTCCTACAATCTGGAGTCCTTTAAGAGAGGCGTGAAGAAGCATTTTTGTAGGCCGGCAAGGTAAGGATGGTTGATGTAGCAGCTTATAACTGCTGTACCAGCTATTTTTGCGTTTGGACTTTATCACCACTTAACATCAGGTGGGGAAGTCATTTGCCTAACTCGCTATAAAAAAAATATAATAATAATAATAATGTGACCAACAACTTTGATGTAACTCAAAAATTAATTGATTAAAACGTAATTGATTTTGAAATTGATTTATTACAAATAATATGTAACACGAACTGCGGTTCCACGCAAACTGCGATCACGGTAGGGCGAAGAAAATGCGATCAACACGCTGATCATGGGATTAGTTGGGATTCCTGTTTAAAATTATTTTACTCAATGAATGATATTTGGTTTGTAAATTATTTTGTTTTGTCTATGTGCGTTTCGTGTTAGTATTGAAGTATAGTTGCGTGAGTTTGGAACCACCGTGCTTTAGCGGCCTTTAAGAGTAATAATTCTTAATAATTTATAATTCTTTGATTAAAACTTATGCAGTTTACTATGATTATAAGTTACACATTCAACAAAAAGTCTCACAACAGGCTCATAAATCTTTTTTAACAGCCTAAACCTATTATTGAGAAATGCCAGTACTAACCTTTCTTTCGTTCTGTTTTTAGCTCTTGGTCAGAGAGATCTTCATCCAATCCCTCTTCAGGGTCAGATTCGGACTCTTTTTCAGAACCCGCAGAGTCCTCCTCCGCGTCAGATTCACATTTATGGTGCTGAAACTGCTTTATGCTATCCGTTTCAAAACCACACTTTTCGCATTTATGCTTATATTCATACTGCAAAAGATTTCTTTTTTACATTTTCCTAAAGTTTACAATATAATAAATAAACAAACAATGATCATAGACTTAAATATCGATACAAAAATTCACTTCAAAACAGAATTGGACCCTTTTTAGTAGCATAGCAGGTTTTACCGTCGTTATAATACTTACTTTTTCATCGTTTTCCTGGTATTTTTCTATAACCTTATTAGCTCTGAAACAAAATTGGCTTGATATTACTGCTTTTTTGTGGGTTATCTATTAAATAATAAAGAAATGAGTAACATTCGTCCTCCCCTCTTAACGCATCTATTCGAAAAGAGCCAGTTTGCTCACTTTTAACAGGGACCAAAATAGCGTTTAAATTCCTGGGAATATGGATTGGTTTGTGTGGTGGAACAAATCCACATAAACATATACCAACTTTCGCGTTTATAATATTAGTAGGAAATATAATCGTGTCATAATTGTCCGACGTCGAAGAAATAAACTTAGCTTGAAACTGTACAATATATCATATCTTACTTCATTGCAGCTTTTCTGCGTCCAGATGGAGATGATTCTTCTTGAGGCTGCATTATTGCTTTCTCCTTTTGTAGCTTTCGTTCTTTAGCCATTTCCTTTTCCCTGTGCCACGCCATATGCACATTCCTATATACACCCACGTATTTATTGCCGCACAAACTACATTCCTCTTTATACATTTCGGTTTCCTTTAGAGAAAACAATCACAATAAGTTTAATTTCACATATTGAACTAATGTAAAAATAATATTTTTGTGTGCGTTCTGTAATTGCTGATGTTAAGACACCTATGGAAAGCAATGATCAACAGTCATCTCATGTTCAAAGGTCAAAAGCGTGTTTCTGAAACATCGTATCTGTATACGTGTTTTCAGAAACACTAACTGTTAGTGTCCAATTCAATTCCACACTAGATGTACCTATTAGCCCACTGTCCCCATGATATTCTATCTAGTCAGTGCCCCGGTAGTGCATGCACATTAGGGTGAGAATTAAAACATGACTGTACCTCGTCCGATTTACCGCAAGTGATGACATGAAAAAAAAAACCCAGAAAAGACGTTCTTGTTTCGCCACAAATATTGCATTCTAATTTTTTTTTTATTTGTTTATATTCCTTTAGAAATTTATCAGCTCCATATGGACTTTTTACATCCTGTAAAAGTAATAATTTATGTTAAAAGGTATTGTATAAATAAATGCCAATATACATTTATTTTTTTCGTTTGCAATATACTTACAATGGGTACGTCGCCAACAACCCAAGCTACATTGTAATGCTTGTCCATGGCGTGAGCTTTCCATTTATTTGGTAAAATTTTCTCATGACAAATGGCGCACTCATATAAACCTGAAATCATACCTCAATATAAGTTAAGAACTTATTTTTATTTCAAGCGTTAAGCTAATGCATCCGCGCCAACAGCGGAAGGCGGTGGTTCGAATACAGTCTGGGTAGATTATTTTTTTAGTTTTCATTTTCTTTGGATTTATAAAAGCAATAATGTTTATTTTATTATATCTTGTATTTTTTTTCTTTTTTTTTCAAGTGGTGAGCATGAGCAGGTCAAGTTAGCATCGGTCCCATAGATCTCCGAATCCCCTTAGGGTGTAGCTTCCCAATCAAGTGTCATTTATTTCTGTCTTGAATGAAGAAACGTCATTACTTCTAATTTCCATTAGAACAATGTGTCAGCTACTTCAATTGTGATTGAAATAGTAATAAAACTATAATTAATTCCTGACAATAATAGTCAACAATTGTTTAGGCCCAACGAGGCGGAGCTCGTAGTAAAGAATAAAATTAACAAAACATAATGATACGACGACAATCAAACAAAGTAGTTATCATGCAATTGAGAATCCTCTTAGGATTCGAACTTCCAGATCCTTTTCAGAGCAGAAGCCAGGAGAACTGCCGTTGCACCACGGGAACACACTACATCTCATAATAAATATTTGCTGACGTCATAATTTCTAAAACTTAATTCAAATATAGAAGTGATACTAAATGATATAACTTACTTACCTTCATTTTTGTCGAGCAAAGATTTCGTATCTTCACATATATTGTTCTGAGAAACGCCGTCGCAAGTCCCCATATGCGCCATGTAATAGGTGGATATCCTTCTCCTAAAACCACATTTAGCGCAGACTAAGTGCCCTATTATACGAATCAGATTAGTCAAATGCTCCTTTACGGCCTGTTGGTCATCTAATTGCTAAAATAAAAAGAAATACAAAAGTTAAATAATCTGTTTCAACTGATTATAACATATTGAACTGCAATTAATGAAGAAATATAATTATGACTTTAACTTAACGGGTCGGCATTTTCGTCGTGTGTTTGCAAAACAACAAAAAAGCGTTCGCGAAGATAATCACTTTCGTGCTTTCGCGACGGCAAAAATAAGCTTTATTTCGAAGCAAATGTAGCATTTTTTAAGAATGATAAATATACTCTGGACTAATGTCACACTCAAAGATTATCATTAGCGTTATCATAATTTATTGTTATCACGAATAAAGTGACAGTTATAAGTTTAATCAAACTTAAAAAATAACTGACGACCTAAACCTAGACCTAGACGACGTCAGTTATTTTTCATATCCATAATCCATTAACATAAAAGTACTAACCAGAGGTTGGTCTCCATCTCTCCATGCAAGGTAATCGTGTGCTACTTGAATATGTTTTATCCAACCACCTGCTGGAATGTCTTTAGAACATACCCCGCATTTGTTAGCCTCATCTATATTTATCGTACTATTGAGATCACTTTGAACAGATTCCAGTTCAGACTGTACATAAAAATATCTGCATTATTAAAAATGAAGTACAGAAGATAAAATTGAAACAACGTGTGATACAGATTTATTGTTCTGTTGGAAAAACGAGCAAAAAGTACGTACCGATGCACCAGTACATAAACGGACATGCTCTAAAAACGTTTTAGGATATTTCTTCTTTGCGTTGCATTTGATGCAAATCAGACCGCTCTGCCTATCCGAGATATTCTTCAAATAATGACGCACGGTATCTTCGTTTTCCAAGTCCTGAAAGTATTTTCAAGAAATACAGCTTCATTAAAAATAAAATATAATTAAATAATTTGTTTAATATTGTCGTTTTTTCCGCAACAAAAAAAAACACTTCTTTTGTAATAAGTTTAGTTTGAAGTGCAGGGAGACATAAGAAATATACTGGAAATAAAATTAATACTATGAACACACATACATACATGACCACACACAGATACACACATTTTTTGACACACACCACAATACACATACACCCACACGTAACATATCCTTTTTTTGTAAAGGTTAGATTAAAGGTGGTTAGCTATTTATTACTCTTTATTTAATAAGAATTTTTGATTTCGACTACGTGATTAAGACGCTCTTGTGCATTAAATCTGGGTAGGAAACGCTGACAGCTGTGACACAGTCTCTGCTAGTACAGCTGCTACTTAAAAATATTGTTTAAATATTGTAAACCTCCAGCTGTGTTATGAACTTTTTTTATTTACAACTTTTATTTTAGAGGTTGAATTGTAACTTTGGGGTAAAAATAAAGAAAATATTATTTTGATTTTTTTTTGTCAGCTTGAGGCTAGTTTTAAACAATCTATAATAATTATTCATGACAAATTCTTCAATACCTTTATAAATCATCCGTACTTCCATTAATTGAGGACGTGAGTGGATGAAGGTTACATGTCGCATTTTGGTCTTTGATGTTACAAGGACACACATTTTGAAAAATTCTTTGTCATTGTAGAGGTAATAGCAATATAAATTCAACATTTTTGTATTCAACAATTTTGTGGTCAAAAACTGATAGACTGACGGACGGAAGAACAGCAGACTTTTAATAATATGGTATTGTTGTTACTCTTTGGGTAAAAATCGCTTGGTATTTTGACACTTAACACTTACTAGTGGAGGTTCACCATCTTTCCAAGCTAAATAATTATGTTCTTCTTTTATATGATCGATCCAAGTAACTTTCTGCACATTCATTTTACAAACGCCGCATGTAACTTGTTTATTCTTTAATTCAACTGATGTTCGTTTAAGATCAATGATTGGTTTATCGTCATCAGAAAATGATGCCTGAAAACATATAACTCTTCCGGTAATAGCATTTTACACACATTTAAAATATAACAAATGGAGAACAAATTAAACAACATACCGATCCAGAACAGTAGCGTACATGATCTAAAAACTTTTTGGGATTTTTTTTTATAGTATTACATTTAGCACAAGCTAAACCGCCCTGACTTTTCGAAATATTCTTCAAGTGACACCGCACAACATCTTTGTCATCCAAATCCTAGAACAAAAGCAGGAAAATTTTAGGCTCTAGAAGCTTAACCGCCCGCTTCAAAAATCGTATCTTGATAAAACCTGTAGTCCAGTCAATGAAAAAAATGCGAAATGGTGTAAAAACGAGTTTTTCATCAATATCTCGCGACTGGCTGGAAAAATAGAAAAAGTTTGTAGCACAAAGTTGTAGAAAATATAATTTCCTACAAAAAAGGTATCAACTTATTTTCGCGTATCTCCCATAGTTTTTACACAAAATGCAATTAAAGGTGCAAAATAAAAAAAGAAAAAATATTGTTTATGGTTTTTTTTTCCATTTTTAAACGATCCTACGGGGCAAATTCAACAATCACCAATTACTGAAATATTTAAGGATGAGTTTTCGGCAGTCCACTGAAATGAAAATTGTCTACCGAAATGGTAAAAAATTACCACCGAAATGATACAGCCAAGAACATCGCCTTTGTAGTAGAAGGGTTCCCATATTTTGAATTTAAATAAAGGTTTAAATAAAGGTTTATTCTTTGTGAATATTTTTGTTCATTATTTTTTAATAAGAATTATTAATGAAGAATTAATTAATTGTTACTCCTATTAAATATTATTACTAATTATAATTATTAATATGTACATTTTCAAAATAACGAACAAAGTGCGTTTAGAAAGCTAGAAGTTTATTATTAGTAAATCGTCCCCTTAGTGCCAAAACCGATTATCTGCACTTTTCCGCTACTGAAATTTTATAATACCAATCGACCCGTCTCATTAAGCCGCATCTACAGGTAAAACCCATTATGCTCTACGACGCATACTTCCTGAAATAGCTAATGAATAAACAAAATAACTGCAAATTATTTCCAAAATTCTTGATTTAAAACCTAATAAACCCATTCAAAACACTTAAATTTGTAAACGTATTAATTGTTGAAACCAAGTTTCGGATTTAAACTCATTTTTCATGTAGACACTTAAAATATCCTGTGAGTATCCTGTAATTGGCTTTGACTTGACTGTTTGAATTTTACCAGATATTTTAATTTTACTAGATGAAGTAAAAACTAAAAAACCTGTCGCTTTTTGAAAAAAAATATATATAGAATATTTGCGTTATATTTGAGGCAAGTAAAAGAAGATACCGAATTTTAATTTGTTTTTACTGAATAACTTTTATTTGACGCTTTATAAATTACTTCAGCTAAAATCGATTATCAGTGCTTACTCTTTTCTTCCATTGTAATTTATTAGCGTTAGTCATCGTTACTTTAAAATTTATGCTTCAGCTAAAACCAGTTATCCATGTTTAACCGTCTCTTCCGTACACAGATCGTGCGCTAGCGAGTGAGTTGCTCACTTTTATTCATTCATTGTTGAATCGCGCGCTGGGCAACACTGTTATTCTTTTGTTTAATTAATCACTAATAAACATTACTGGGTGAACTATTCTGCGTATTTAGTTTAAAATGATGGCTACTAAGAAATGAGGAAAAATATAGTTAAAAAAAAATTAATTTTATTATATGATAATTTAATTTTACCATTTCTTTTTCTTTCATCGTGTTCAGCGCAAAATTTACGTTTAAAACATATATTTGCAATATGTATTATCATTATCATATAATAAAATTTAAATATTTTTTTTTGTCAAGATTATTATATGAAAAAAGGAAATAATAAATAAATAAATACCCGAAACATATTAATTAAATCCTAATGAAGCATGTAGGGGTAAACTCCCCGAGCAAAAAAAATACACGGTATTCCTCAGAGCGGCAGTGCAATGTGCTGATTTATGATTTTGTATTTTTTCTTGGTTAAGTAGGTACTTCTCAACCTTGGCAAAAATAATTATTGAGTAATGGGCTCTAAATCCATAAAATAAAAAAATACGAAGTGGCATTTTATCATCACGGTGAACTGTTCTAAACCCAATTCCTCTCGTAAAATTACTACCCTTGTAGTTACTTTTATTTTTTGGATTGAAATTAACTTTTATATCAATCTAATATATATAAATTCTCGTGTCGCGGTGTTTGTGGTTAAACTCCTCCGAAACGGCTTTTCCGATTCTCATGAAATTTTGTGTGCATATTGGGTAGGTCTGAGAATCGGACATCTATTTTTCATCCCCCTAAATAGTGAGGGTAATCCACCCCTAATTTTTTTTTTCAATTTTAGATATATTTTTTTAATTTTTTTATGATACATCATTCAAAAATACATACAACCCTAAATTTTCACCCTTCTACCACCAACCCCAATTTTTTTATGGCGGTACGAAGTTCGCTGGGTCAGCTAGTAATATATAATATAGCCTATCAACAAAAACCACTACTGTTTGTTTACCTTCTTTCTTATACATGTAACAAGCACACAACTTTTGTCCTGGAAAAAGTTATCATTTCCATGGACAGTATGTTTTTGTGAAATAGGTTCGTTAACATTGTTTTGTTGTATCCCGCTTGTCAGTGCTCCCTTCGAGCCAGGCCGCCTTAGGTGGATCACACGCACGCGCAACAACGTCATTGTGGATTCCCGCCAAATAGTAAGCATACCATTTCAGTGATATGGGGACAATTGAGCTAGTTTTATATATGTAAATGTATTTTTATTTTATTTTTATTTATGAATATTATGTTCTATATATATATATATATATATATATATATATATATATCTCTGTGTGTGTGTGTGTGTGTATGTGTACGTGCTGTGTATGAATATATATGCGTATCTGTGGATGTGCGTGCATGTACGAGTATGTAATTTTATAATTTTTCAAAATGTAAATGTCGAAAAGTCCTTCTTTTTTTTGTTCTTATTTTATTTTTATTATTAAGTATTCTTTTATAATGATGTCGATTATGGCGTGATTCTCTAGGGCTAGTCTTTGGTTTAACAGCGATGCATTCCTGTCATTCTCTTTACAGAATGAAGGGGAGGGACTGGTGTTGAATTTGGTTTTGGGTTCGGAGAGTCACGCCAGAATCCATACCAAGTATTTATGTTATTTTGTTTACTATAGCGCCTAACACGTCCTCAAACAGGCCCTGCCAGAATACCAGCGCTGATACAGTGAGAGAATATTTTCTCATTGTATCAGCATAAGCTGAGGCAGGGTCCTGATTGGCCATTTTAAATGTAATGATTAATTTTTGTTCTTAGGTTAAGTTTCTTTTTTATATATTTTTTTCCTGTTCCTTATACCATTTCATTTCATTTTATTCGGTGAACTGTAATGCCGATAAGAGTCCAGGAAATGAAAGTATCGCCGATATGATACATCCATAAGTTTTTAGAGATCCTTGAGTCAATATAGGTATATTAAATAATTTCGGTTTGTGATGTACGTTTACCGAGAAACTGTAGGTTCGATATTTCGGATGCAGTAGTATTTCAATCTAAAATTTCTAGTTTAAAAATGTGGATGAAGTCATTGGCGGCCGATAGTATTTCTATATAAAAAACTTGACTTGACTCGCTTGCACATGATGAGTCATCAAAAATGGTTTCTGAAGGCAAACGATCAGAGTATCAGCATAATCCATGGTACTCCTCAGATATGACACCTTTGTAGCAAAAATCAAAAAATTTTCTTTGCTATAGATTTTTTTTTATAAATAGGCTCAAGAAATGACTCCACCAGAGGTTAGATGACGGAGGAGTCTAGACGCGAAGATAGCTGGTACAGCAGTATTACTTGCCACACCAGCTATCCTCATTTTGCCGGCCTGCAGAATTGCTACTTCACACACGTAAGAGGTCAAAGTAATCCATTTGCGGATAGTCTGACAAAGAAATGAGTTACCAAATTTCTTTGTTCACGTTGGAACAGTGGGAATAGTAGTTCACAGTAAGTCGGTGGCAACGTAAGCCAGCGCGTGTAGACTTCTGTAGGAAAGGGGAAGGTAGGTTAAGAGACAATAACTCCTCAAAACATGCGCCAAGGTATAGTCGATAAAACGCGCTTAATAACGCTACATCACGGCGTAATTGACGAGGCTCGAGGTGTTTAGTCACCTCCTTATCGACAATAATGCGGATCGCGCGCCGCTGTAACCTATCCAAAGCATCGCCGTACTTACGTCATGTACAACAAGCACAGTTGCTCGGGCGTGAAAAAACGTTAGTTTTACCGTGAAAGCGCAGACCTGGGCTTTCTTGGCAATGAACTCAACCAAGTTCTTGGTACCGCATTCCGAAATGCAGTCCAAATTTTTTATTGAGTTCAATGACAAGATTCTCCCGTTTCTCTTTGGTTTCTACCTGTCCAACGGCTGCGTATCCAAAATATCCCGCATGCACTGTATTATCGTCTGCATAGCAATGAATATTCTCAAGAGGAATGAAATCATTGAATGCAGCAAAAAGAGTGTAGGGGATAGGACGGAGTCCTGAGAAACACCGGCATTCACTGACATGAACTGCGAACTACATCCGTCGCCGTCCGTTGACGCTCATGCAGGAAGTCAGCCACTCAGGCACAGAACTGAGTAGGCAGACCGTATCCAGGAAGCTTGGAGAGAAGACTTATGTGCCAGACCCTATCAAAGCCTTGGCGATGTTAAGGCTGATAGCCAAAGACTCACCTCGCTTATCGATAGCCTCACCCCAGATATATGTCACGTACGCTGGAAGGTCACCTGTCGATCGATTCGATCTATCCTCTTTTACTTACCTCAAATATAACGCAAACATATTATATATATTTTTTTGCAAAAAGCGACAGATTTGTTAGTTTTTACTTCATCTAGTAAAATTAAAATATCTGGTAAAATTCAAACAGTCAAGTCAAAGCCAATTACAGGATACTCACAGGATATTTTAAGTGTCTACATGAAAAATGAGTTTAAATCCGAAACTTGGTTTCAACAATTAATACGTTTACAAATTTAAGTGTTTTGAATGGGTTTATTAGGTTTTAAATCAAGAATTTTGGAAATATTTTGCAGTTATTTTGTTTATTCATTAGCTATTTCAGGAAGTATGCGTCGTAGAGCATAATGGGTTTTACCTGTAGATGCGGCTTAATGAGACGGGTCGATTGATATTATAAAATTTCAGTAGCGGAAAAGTGCAGATAATCGGTTTTGGCACTAAGGGGACGATTTACTAATAATAAACTTCTCGCTTTCTAAACGCGCTTTGTTCGTTATTTTGAAAATGTACATATTAATAATTATAATTAGTAATAATATTTAATAGGAGTAACAATTAATTAATTCTTCATTAATAATTCTTATTAAAAAATAATGAACAAAAATATTTACAAAGAATAAAGACCTTTATTTAAATTCAAAATAGGGAACCCTTCTACTACAAAGGCGATGTTCTTGGCTGTATCATTTCGGTGGTAATTTTTTTACCATTTCGGTAGACAATTTTCATTTCAGTGGACTGCCTAAAACTCATCCTTAAATATTTCAGTAATTGGTGATTGTTGAATTTGCCCCGTAGGATCGTTTAAAAATGGAAAAAAAAACCATAAACAATATTTTTTCTTTTTTTATTTTGCACCTTTAATTGCATTTTGTGTAAAAACTATGGGAGATACGCGAAAATAAGTTGATACCTTTTTTGTAGGAAATTAAATTTTCTACAACTTTGTGCTACAAACTTTTTCTATTTTTCCAGCCAGTTGCGAGATATTGACGAAAAACTCGTTTTTGCACCATTTTGCATTTTTTTTCACCCTTTGCCGTCAATGCAGCACCCTGCAATTTTAGTATATTAATCTACGAACCCTTGCGGAAATTTTCGCGTTGGTTGCAGGTGATCAACTCAAAATGGCAAAGTTAAGCCTTCATTGACTGGACTACTGTGCAGATGTTTTGAAACATTTATCGCAAAGATTGAGGCGTATCTTTGCTAACTTTCACTCATCCATAGCTAATTTCGTACCAAACATCACTGAAGTCGGATAAGGTCCACGTTGTACTCCGCAGCCTTATAGGATATTTGATAACTTTTTAAAAACAATCTTACGTTATGTAACGTGATAAAAACGTCACATGAATCTCCTTCGTTCGAAGAGCGAGATAGAAGACTTTTTTAGGTTGTCTCTCTCAGCTCGTTTTTATCTCACGTCCATTTCATTAATCTATGCCCTTTTAAATAAGTGTGACTCTGTCAATATCAAGCAGTAAGCCGTATGGGCGTTGTTTTCTTTGCCCGCCCGGAAAGAGAAAACGAATTAAAAAAAAGCTAGTGTCACTTTACTTCGTCTAATTTTTCTGGGAGCGGTATGGTTCGCCGCTAATCTAAATGAATTACTTAGTAATTCATATTATCAGTATATATTTTCAATGGTGTTTTTCTAAATTCAAAAAGTGTTTTTCTTCATATATTTCGATAATTTTCATGAGGATTGATTTTGTTTTCAGAAATGAAACCTTATGCCTGCTACACATGTAACGATTTATCGTAACGATTAAACTGTGCAGATCGATTTGCGCAGATTTATCGAACGTGTGTATGACAAATCGTTGTCGATTATCGTTTGTCGGTGGCAGTTGCAATTTTTATTAGATAAATCGTTATCGATTGCGTTTGCGTTTTATCGTCAGGTGTGGATGGTGATCGCTCACTTCGGCAGTAGGTACTTCACGGAGCTCGCAAGTGTGCGCACATGCGGCTGGCTCTTAAATGGCAACATGTCGGAAGAAGAAAGAGAAGGATTATTATGACGCAAAAAATGTCTTCAGCAGGCTTGTCGAAAATACAAAGCCATCGAACCAAATGCCAATCAATAATCTTAGAACTACCTATAAAAAATAACTCAATAAAATTTTAAGTGCGTCATAATCTTCCATTGTGGATGACGTGTTTCTTGCGAGAGCTTCTGCGGAGAACAAACAATCGACGCCGATATTGAAGACGTGTGGAGTCACTAGGAACGTTCGATTTATCTGCACAGTCTGAAATCGCTACGATATATCGTTACGTGTGTACTGACCATTAGTTTGCCATGCAATGGTGGGCCTTGTCCCAAAATTATTTTGTTTATAAAACGGTAAGAACCTTAGCGATTTCTTTCGATTTATACATTTTCATTTGTTTTAAGCCATGTGCTAAATAATCTACGGAATGATTATTTTCAGCTGTAGGCGTTTTTTTTTTAAACTTAAAATTTCACTAACAAACATCATGGAAAATTAACTTAACCTCTGATGTAATCAGCAGTGAAAACGGCCATCCTTAAATGTCTTCAACGACAGACATAACTTAAATAGATGCAGTGAGGTCTGTAAGCTTCAAAATTTATAGATATACCAGAACCCATAGAAAGGTATTTTTTTAATAATTCTTGGTAGATTCATAAACTTCTAAATTTAATATTAACCCTTTTGGACTTTAAGTAGAAATTTTCAATATATTGACAACCCAGAATGAGTGTGGATTTGCATTAACCCCCCTTGCGATCAGTAGTTCAATACTTTCCCGGCTAATGTGGTATTTGTGGTAGTCCTGGCGCCCGAGTATTCCATTTGATTAATTTCGGCCTATCCGTTTATGGTAATTATCACAACAATTTAAATTTTAATATTTTTTATTATTACAGTTAATTATTGGTTATTTATCATCCTGTTGCCTATATTTCAGTAATGAACGTAATTTTAGGCTCTGCCATTCCGAGTGTTTTCGGTCACATGACAATAAATAAAAAATCAATTTTGTTTCGTATGTTTCTTGGTAAAATTATCAACACTAAACTTCTATAGAGCCCCCAGCATAAATTCGGTCATTGTTGTTTATCAGCTTGTTAAAACATTGCTGAGTAGTAAAAAATTCTCGTCTGTAATTTTTATTTACTGCTTTGCGTACCAATTTTGAGGCCCTACTTCAGTAACTTAAGCTTCTTTTTAAGAAGATACGAAAGACATAAATGTTTGAAACTTACCAATGGAGTTTCTCCATCTGTCCATGCTAAATAATTATGTGCTTCTTTTATGTGATCTATCCAAGTGCTGTTCTGCAGTTCCATTTTACAAACACCACAAGCAACTTCTGAGACAGTTGACGGTCGTTTTAGTTTATTACTCGATTCCTTTTTAACGGGTAATAACGCCTAAAACAAATACAGTTATTCCGTTAACTCGCTATAAAATTGCTTAGCTTTAAAATTATAATGCCGGAAAAATTATTTAAAAAAAAACATACTGTTCCAGTACAGATGCGAACGTGGTCTAGGAATGCTTTTGGATATTTTTTTATCACATTACACTTTATACAAACAAGACCGTCCATATTTTTCGAAATAGTCCTCAAATGGTCCCACACTGCATCGTCGTCTTCCATATCCTGAAATCATCAGAAGGCTAAAAATTTCCTTATAAAGAAGTTTCTGTAGAAGGAAATTAAACCATCTTCATACAAATGTTTCTGTATTGGTATTCACAAATGCTTTTCCGTTATTTGAAAAAATTACCATCCCTTGATCAAGAAAGGCCATAATTAATAAAAGAAAATTAGCATTTAACAGTCGGTTATTATAACTTAGATAATTTACAAAATAACTCACTTAAGGGCAAGAAATACAAATTTTACGAATTTTAAAAGAGACAATACTTGTCAGGTACGAGTATTCTCTCTTTACTTTGGCAACGATCGTACGATGACACCGTGCGTTCTCGTCGGACGATGATTTTCAAACATACAGATTTCTTCCGAGGTGTCCTTATACAGCTCGTAAGCCGTTGCTAGAACACACATATTTTCATCGCAAGATAAGATCGCATTGCACTATCACACGATTGTTTCCAATTAGGACTACGTCTTATATTGTGAATTTTCTTTAAATGTACAAACATGAGTCTGAAGTAAAGGATTAGTATCGTTTTTATTTTTTTCTTTAGGTTTTGTTTTTATGAACTCTGTCTTTTGTTTATATTGATGAACTTTTCTGTTTAAAATGTTGTCCATGTTTGATACTTACCAAAGATTTTTTTCCATCTTTCCAAGCTAAATAATTATGTTCTTGTTTTATGTGATCAATCCAAGTTTCATTCTGTATATTCATTTTACAAACACCACATTTGACTTCTTTCTCTTCCGAGATAATTGAGGATCGATCAACGTGGGCAATCGATTCGTCGTTATCAGTTAGTGAAGCCTACAAGATGAAATATATTCTACATAAAGCCAAAATCTATTTATACTAATATTAGACAGAGGGAAGATTTGTATGTTTAAAATTAATACAAACTATGAGACCAATTTAAAAAAATGTTTCCAACCATTATTTGTAAGTGACATTTATAAGCTATATTTTATCGCGTAAAATTTATTGTTCAGAAAATAATTTAAAAATAACACACCGATCTTGTGCAATTGCGCACATGTTTTAAAAACAATTTAGAGTGCTTCTTCCTCGCGCTGCACTTAGCACAAATCAAACCATCCTGCTTTTTTGATATAGTCTTCAAATGATCGCGCACGGCATCTTCATCCTCCAAATCCTGAAAGCATCATAAGGCATTACATTTTTATCTTTATATTATTTAATTTTCCGGCTTTTCACTACGGGAGATAATGTAATATATATTACAAAATCTCGAGATAAAAATTGATGTAGCTCACTGTAGCTTCTAATTGAACCCTTCTCACTGAAATATAATATATTATATTACATCCTAAACTATAAATAAAATTTAATATATAATAAATATTTTTTCAATCCATCGTGCGATCATTTTTAAGGATCGTACCTCGCACGCCCTTTCGCCCCCTGCGTCGCCACCACGACCGAAACAGAATTAGTTAATAAAATATATCTCATTGTGTAAACGCCAATCGCGGGATGTAATATATATCTCAAATTTATATCTTGATATTATATCCCAGAGTGAAAAGACGACTTAAGATGATCTATTTTATTGTATTGAAAACAAAGGTTACACTTCAAAGATCTTCCATCCAAGTATTAGTACTGTTTGCCAGGTATTAGAAGATCCTAAGTGCAAATAGTCACAATAGTGTCTCTTTTCATGAGGAAACTTGTCTGGTTTGACATTTTGAGCTAATTATCAAGCATGTGGGTCATCAACCAATTTTTTCTATAGTCCCCTATGATGTGAAGACAGGTCTTCCAATTATAAAAAAAATATTACTTACACTTAATATTTTTGGTAAGGCACATTTTTGGATTAAGGTATCGTTTGTGAAATTTATGCATTAAACTTAAAGCTAACTTACCGTTCCAACCTACCCTTCCAAATAAGGCAAATAATTTAAGATCCAGTGGCACTCAAAAAACAAGTATCCATGGAAGTCTACATTGCGCGTGATACCTCGCCCTTGGGCCATTGTTTTTTCTTGTTTGAAACTTACCAAAGGATTTTCTCCATCTTTCCATGCTAAATAATTATGTGCTTCTTTTATGTGATCGATCCAAGTGTCATTCTGCATATTCATTTTACAAACACCGCATATAACTTCTTTTTCTTCTGACTTAATTGAGGGTCGATCAACTTGAACAATCGATTCGTCAATATCAGTTAATGAAGTCTAAAAAGAAAATGTAATATATACAACAGTTTAACTTTATAATTTAACATTAAGTTTTTAAATGTTAATTTCAGAAGACAATAAATAAATCGTACTGGTCCAGTGCAGTTACGAAGATGGTCTAAAAACATTTTAGGATACTTTTTCTTTACGCTGCATTTAGTACAAATCAAACCGCCCTGCATTTTTGAGATCGTCTTCAAATGATCACGCACTGCTACCTCGTCCTCCAAATCCTGAAAGCATGCGAAGGTTTTTAATTCTCTCTCCTAAATTATTTTTATATGATAGCATCAACTATGTATTAATTTATATTAATATAGAAGATCAGTTTTGTTTAACTTTTCTTCAAGTTTAATACTTACCAAAGGAATGTCTCCATCTTTCCATGCTAAATAATTATGTGCTTCTTTTATGTGATCGATCCAAGTAACATTCTGCATATGACTTTTACAAACACCGCATATAACTTCTTTCTCTTCTGAGTTAATTGAGGGTCTATCAATGTCATTAAGAGATTCATCCTTATCAGTTACTGAAGTCTAAAAGGAAAATGTAATATATTCAACATACAGTTAAAAAAAATATCATTAAGGTTTTAAACTTCTTGTTCAGAAAATAATTTGGAAAAAGCATACAGGTCCAGAACAGTTGCGCACGTGTTCTAAAAATATTTTAGGATACTTCTTCTTCACGCTGCATTTAGTACATATCAGACCATCCTGCAGTTTTGAGATCGTCTTCAAATGATCGCAGACGACATCTTCATCCTCCATATCCTGTAAGCATTAGCAGGTTTCAGAACCGTCTCCTAAATTATTTTTATTATGAATATAATAGCGTATTTATTTATTTTAAACTTTATTGACCAAAATACAAAACAATGGTACAAAAGGCGGACTTAATGCTAATAGCATTCTCTCCCAGTCAACCTTTGGGAAAAAAGAAAAACGCGAACGGCGGTATAAAGCTAAATATACACATAAATATTGAAATAATAAATAATATTAAAATATATACGAATTAAGTATTCAGTATTTGACAGTATTATAAATAAAAAGCCAATTGGTAGCATCTGTACATATATATTTTTTTTTGGTATCTATAATCTGTACTTTTTTAACTTTAAGCAGTTTAGTTACAAGTTCAAGTAGCCGGGAAGAGCGGGACTCCATTGAGCCATCTACTCATTTGAAACTGATCACCCCAAGGACCATCCCGTTTGTAAACAGGATGCGCACCCGATACGTCTATAGTGGCCAAAAAGCCAGATGAATCCCCATGATTCCGCACGAGGGAGAAGAAGACAACAGTCTGAATAATGCTAATGTTGAATTTGCAGGCACTACCCCATAGAGCCATACTGGTTTTCGGATCATTGTATAGCTTAAGAGTTTGTTGTCTATGCTCCCATTATCCAATGCAGGTTCTTATATATATATATATTTCTCTTTATTTAAAGGACTTTTATCTTTACAGACATGTCAGTCCCATCGTGTACTTATATAAATTAACAAATCATCTAAGCCAATTAACCTAATATGTTATTGTCGGAAGAAAGTCGCGGCAGACATATAAAGCGATACAGCATTCTGGCCTCTTCCGAGACCGGTTGGACCAGAACGCTGTGAAACACACCAATGTCTGACATATTCAATTTACATTTTTTAACAAACTCTTGTCTCTCATTCTGGTACCGGACACAATCCACCAACAAGTGCTGGAGATCTTCTACAACACAGCATACTTCACAGTTGGGAGACTCAATTTTTTTCATAAGATGTCCAAACTTGTTACATGGATAATGTCCAGAACGAAGTCTATTTAAGGTCACTACAAAGCGTCGACTTAATGTTAAATTAATAAACCACGGTATTCGTAGAGGCTGACTCTGTATGGTTTTATACCATATTCCTTTTTCTTTTGATCTTTCATTAAAATATTCTTTCCAGTTAAGATAACAACTCTTTATATATTTTGACAATGTTTCGGAATAAAATGGTTTCATTGATGCATTTTCACCTTCAATAGATGCTTCTTTTGCTAAGCGGTCAGCCTCTTCGTTGCCGCTAATACCTATATGTGAAGGGACCCATTGCAGTTTAATACTTTTGCCACTAGAATTGATTTCATGAAGTTTTTGAAGTATCTTATAAGCAACCGGCACACCTCTTTTGCCTGACACACAACAATGTTGAATAGCACTTTTGCTGTCTGATATTATAACAATTTTGCAGAGACCTTCATTAATAGAGTATGTAATAGCTTCATGAATGGCAATCAATTCTAATGACATTACAGATACATCAGTAAGCACCTTAAAACAAGCCTTAGCTCCTCTGCTTGGGCATACATATGCTGCTCCTAGACCAGTTATAGATTTGGATCCGTCTGTGTAAATTTTAGTACAATCATTATATTTTTTATTCAATTCTATTACTACGTTTTGCTTTAATGAATTTGTTTCGTAATTGTCTTTAGCTTCTTTTATACATTCTAAGTTTGATATAACAATTCCACGTAAGTTAATTCGACTAATCCACACGTCTAATGTGTACATATTTAATGGATAATCTGAAGAAACATTACTTTCTGCTGTTTCTCTAACTAGTATTGGTAACAGTGGTTTGGTTTTGTTTCTCCAGTACGAATTTTCGAAAGTTGTATTAAGTTCTGTTAGAAGTTCAACCGTAACATTGTTGTGAAACGACAATACTTATAGGCAAGATATTTTCTCCTAATAAATAAAGGTGGCATTCCAAGTTCACTCTCCATAACATGAATTGGTGAACTCCTAATAAAACCTCCAATAATTCTCAGAGCCTGATTTTGAATTTTTTCTAATTTATATAATGTAGTTTTGGCACAATTATGATACAAAAAACAACCGTAATCTAATCGACTTCCAATTAGTGATATGTATAGGGTTCTATGCTTAGGGTGGACTCCCCATGCCGATCCTGCTAAAACATTTAACAAATTTAAATACTTTTGACACGTCTCTGCTGTTTCGTTGACATGCTTTTTCCAACGGAGGCATCTATCAATCCACATTCCAAGATAACGAACGTTCTCTGACAGTGGTATTGGATAGTTGTTTATAGTAAGGTCAATATTATATCTTTTAAAGCCTCTACTGAAAAAAAAAATCTTTGACTTGGAAGGCGCCAAATCTAAACCGAGTTCTTTCAATAAGTTTGTTATGTTATTTATTGCTCTTTGCATATTAATAGTACAGGTATTCATATTTTTATTGCTTATAAATATTACAAAGTCATCCGCATATTGGTATACACTAGTCTCTGTAATTTTATTGCATATTTTTGTAAGTAGCTATATTTAAAAAAAAGGGGAGGGGATATAGGATCCCCCTGAGCTAAACCTTTATGCGTCCATCTAGTTATGATTTTATTGTCTACCAAGGTTTTTATCTTAAGATGTCTTTCACTTAAATAAAGCCACAAATATTTACAAATAGACCTTCCAATTCGCAGTTCATCCAAAGCTACTGTAACACTATCAATCGAGATATTATTGTACGCATTTTCAACATCTAGGAAGCAAGCTAATGTAGGTACATTTTTAGTATATCCCTGTTGTATTTCAGTAACAAAACGTACAAGACAATCTACAGTAGAATGACATCTTCTAAAGCCTGTGGTATAAGGTGATATCACTTTATGTTTCTCAATATACCATTCGATGCGCTTAGCTATCATGGAATGAAGTATTTTACAAAGGCAAGAAATAAGGGAAATAGGTCTTAATTTATCAGAATTAAGTTTAGATATAGGTATAATTGAAATATCCCGCCATTGTTCTGGTATATAACTGGAGTGAAAAATCATATTATACAATGTTAGAAGGTATTGTTTCCCCTCGTCGGCGAGATTGAAAATCATTGAATACGTAATATCATCTTCTCTAGGAGACATGTCTTTACTTTTACTACAATTGTTTAATTCTTGTAATGTAAAATCTGACTCCAATAACTCATTTTTAGAGTTAAAGATTGGACAGGTATTCTGTGCTGAATCGGGAGTCAAGGAACATAATAATTCATTAAGCTTCTCTTCAGATGGGTACTGTCTAGGCTGTTGACCACCCTTTATCCATTTCATACGGCGCCACATATCCGACACCGTTGTAGTCTCTTCGAAACTTGTACAGAATTGTTGCCATGAGACAGCCTTAGCTTTTTTAAAAAGCCTTTGAGCCTCGGATACTTTATTTTGAAATCTTTTTAAGTTCTCCGGTGTGGGATTTTTCCTAAATGTTTTAAGTGCAAGCCTACGTTGAGCAACAATATGAGATAAAGTCGGATTCCAATATTCTTTCGGTTTGAATTTTGTAGCTGGGTTTAAATTGTATATTTTAAATGGAATACTTTTATCTGCTGAGGTGATGATTTGTTCATAAAAGTAGTTATACATTTCTTGTACATTTCTATCTAAATTGCATGAATTCAAAGCAGACTTAGTTAACCTTTTATAATTTTGCCAATCTGCTAGTTTAAAATTTCTTTTTTTTATATTTTTATATGACTGGGTATATTTTATAGAATATAGGATAATAAGGTGGTCACTACCTAAATATTCGTTAGTTGTATACCAGTTAAAATTAGTAGCGATGTCTGATGACACAAACGTAATATCCGGCGATGATTCCCTCAAAACTCCATCTACCATTTTTACTCTTGTAGGTCGGCCATCATTAAGAGATATGAAGCCATTATCAAGAGCAGCATCAAAAATTTGACTCCCTCTTATGTCCGTTTTGTATGACCAATTTGAGTGATGGCCGTTGAAGTCTCCAGCAACTATAGTCTTACTACTAACTAGTGAAAATACTTCATTGCAATCAGACGCTGTCGTTCTAATTGATGAGGGGCAGTAAATCGAAAAAATGTACTTTAAATCTGTGCATGAGTGTTTGGGTTGTTTGGGTTTGATTGAGTATTTGGACACCGACTACCTCAATACCACTATTAGTAAGAACGATCGGACAAATTCGACATTGAATCGACTTGTGAGTAATTATAGCGACTCCCCCATAAGTATCTAATCTATCTTTTCTGAATATATTAAAACCGCTCAATCTTAATGTAGTTTCAGGATCCAACCATGTTTCGCTAACCACCGCGACATGTATTTTCTCCTGTATCATAAGTGTGCCAAAACTACTTGTTTTTGGAGTTAAACTTTGCGCAGTCCATTGCAATATATTTACATCTAAATTAATATTTCAGTTGTAACTATCCATTATATAAACCAATAAAAAAGTCTATTAAACTACTTTTACTTACAATATTTAAGAAAAATAACTTCACACCTTCGTAAATTTCCTTCATGATTAGCACACATTTTTTATTAAACTCATTCTCAGACATAATAATTTCACTTATTCTACCACAAAACACTTTAAAGTCAAACTTTTCACTTCTTTTTTCATCACTACGTTTTTCTGATTTTTGTTTTATATTTACACTAGTGGATTCACAATTTACATGCTCCATCGTCGCTTTCTTCTTTTTGTTTATCTTTGACTTCTTAACATTAATATTTTCACTTGAACGTGAGCTTTCATCTTCAGAAAAGTCTGACGGCATCTTAGTGTGCGTCTTCGTTGTAACCACCTCACTGTATGACCGTTGAAGATGTTGAGGTTTCGACGATATGTCCTGTTGCCAGTTTGATATATCCTGCTTTTCTGTTTTTTTTGTTTGGTCATTTTTATTCTTTAATTTAGTTTGTTGTTCTATTAGATATATTTGCATGGCTCGTTTGTAAGTGGCATTGTGCTCGCACATTAATTTGCGGATATACTTTTCTTTGAGGAATATGGGGCACGACCTGTCCAACACAATGTGAGACCCTTTACAGTTAAGACATTGAACGTCTTTCTTATCGCAATTTTCGTGATTCTGTCCACTCTTGGGGCAAACAACTTTTTTTGTGGGACAAAATTTTATAATGTGTCCAAATCGCCAACACCCTGAGCACTGTGTAACTGGAAACACATAAGGTTCCACTTTTATCCTGCAACCATAACCATACACATACTGTGTTAGTACCGGACAGTTAAACACTATACGTACTGTTTCACAGTCAACCCATTTTCCTTCATTGTTCAATCTCTTCAATCTGTTTACAGATGTAATCTCTTCAGTACACTGCAAACTATCTAATATCTCCTTATTATCCATTTCAATATCTATACCTTTTATAACTCCGTAAGATAAACGAGACTCTAATGTCAACTGACACTTGTAACCTAATTCTTTAAATTTTGAACAATTAATCAATTTTTCGGCTTCAATTTTGTTGTCTAAACGTATATTCACTTTGTATGGACTTTTATATTTAATATTCAAAATTTTTTCAATTTTTTCTGACTTCAACAGCTTTGCTAGTGCCATTTGTTTCAATAATGGTTGAAGCGACATAACACCAACTTCTATATATTCCTCGCTGACTCTTGTCTCTATATCCATTAGGGTAAAATTCTGATTGTTCGTAGAATTACTTCTGATCAGTCGCTTTGACTTTCGCCTGTTGACTGTAGTAAACTCATCTTCTTTACTCTCTTCGCTATCCTCGCGTGGTCTCTTACCGCGGCTTACTTCGTAAGACTCGGTACCTAAATTATCCCATTCTAACATCCTTCCGAGCTCTTTTTCGCACCCTCTTATTACTTCCGTATCACTCTTATCACTCGCGGTTAAATTATTGTCCGTTTCGTCAATAGTAACTTCATCCATTTTTACATTTACGAAAAGCAGGTATCTTTGAAAAATCTACCGACGAGAGTAGTACGCGTGCGCTCACAACACCGCTCTGCGCGCGACTGGTTCTTCTTATATTTGATATTAAGTTAATTTTTCTTGGTCTTAATATGATTTTGCCACGTTAAACGGCGGTCAAGATGTAGCCCCAGGTATTTTACACTGTTGCAATGTGGTAGCGTGACACATTCTAGGTTCACAGGTGGACAGTCGCCCTTTCGCAAAGTAAAAGTCACCTAAACAGACTTGCTTGCGCTTGCTTTTAACCGCCACTTATGGAGCCAAGTTGTTATTTCATCCAGCCCTCTTCTGTAACAAATTTGAAGCCATGGCAAGAACGGTGTGGCTTGCAAGTATTGCAGCATCTTCGGTGAACTTTGCTGTGGTAATTCCATCGACCTGCGGTAAGTCTGCAGTGTATAGTGTAGAGGATTGAACCCAGGGCCGAACCCTGCGGCACTCCCGCCATTATATCATAGAATCCAGGCTTGGTATGATCTTTTTCACTTGAAATATTCTATCAGTGAGATATGATTTAAGTAAAGAGTACGGTGTGGAAGATTGATCTTTAGTTTGTATGGGAGACCTTAATGCCAGACCTTTTCAAAGGCCTGTTGAATATCCAGGAATGCTGAAGAGCAATATATTTTCTCCTACAAACTTCTTCTGATTTTTTCAGACTCTATGGACTTGTTCCGTTGTAAATTGTCCGTTGTTGTCTAAATTCAAACTTGTGATCCGGGATTACTTTCTCAGTATTGAGGATGGGCAAGATTCAGTACATTAGCAACTTCGCAAATTCTTTAAAAGGATAGGCAGTAGGCTTATATGTCTATATGACAAGACATCATTAGGTTGTTTTCCCATCTTGTATATCATAATGATCTGGGACACCTTCCAAGCCAGAGGAAAATACTGAACCCTTAATACAGCATTAAAAAGTGAGGTTAAGAACACTATGGCATTTTTTGGAAGTTATTTCGGTGTTTTTTTTGTAAGAAGATTGTATCCGGGGGTTTTTTGTCATTGAGCTGTGTAATGACTCTCCAAAAATAATTTACCTTAATAGGACGAGGAGGCAGTGACTTTTGGAAGTCCTGCGATAAGGTTTCCTCTATATGCTCTCCTTGCTGTGAATTTAATGTTATGGTCGGTGTAAAGACTTTTTGAAGGTACAGAGCGAATGCATCTACCTCTTTCTGTGGTGTCCAAGCCCCGTCTCTGGACCTTCTGAGTGGGTGCTTGGCGTTTTGGGGCCGATTTAAATGTATAGTAAACTTCCACGGTGAATAATTAGTTGATGAAGTTGCAGTTAATGGCTTCAATTGGTCTTCCAATGTTTTGTTTGTTAATTGTGTAACCTATCCCTCAAGGCTCGAGTTGCCCTATTAAATCTCATTTTGTCCACTGCCAGTCTGCTCTGGTGCCAGACCCTCCGTAATCGACGTTTTTCAAATGCATCTGTATTTAGAATAAATATTGGCAGGGGTTTTTACTAATGTTACAGAAAAAACATATATAATTTTACTAAAAACCCACGAAAAAAATAATAATTTTCTTATATATTGACTGTAAACGCCTGGGATTGGCAAGGGCTTAAAATGACGTCACACGCTAGTAAACTTCTGGTCAAAGTAACATAACATTGTATCGTTTGACGTTTAAATGACAGTCGTGTTATGTCACATACCAGTGAGACGCCATATTGTCCAAAGAAACGTTTTCGCGGCACTTTGAAAATTGAGTTTTTGAAGAATGATGAATATCCACTTTTTATGTACTCCATAAGCATAAGTAATTAAGTGAGATTGTTTTCTGAAACTTGTCGAATACCCAATCAACTCAACATCAACAATCAAAAATATATACTTGTAGATGAACTTATTTGTTAATTTTTGCTTCATGTTTAATACTTACCAAAGGAATATCTCCATCTTTCCATGCTAAATAATTATGGGTTTCTTTTATGTGATCGATCCAAGCGTCATTATGCATATTCATTTTACAAACACCGCACATAACTTCTTTCTCTTCCGAGTAAATTGAGGGTCGTTCAACGTGAATAATCGATTGATTGTTACCAATAAATGAAGTCTGAAAAAAATGTAATATGTTGAACATAAAGTTAATATCTACATAATATCATTTAAAACTCTTCTTGGTCAGAAATCTATAAAAAGGGTACCGATCCAGAGCAGTTGCGCACGTGTTCTAAAAACATTTTAGGATACTTCTTCTTCACACTGCATTTGGTACAAATCAAACCGTCCTGCATTTTCGAGATCGTTTTCAAATGATCACGCACGGCAGCCTCGTCCTCCAAATCCTGAAAGCATTAGGTAGGCTTCAGAATTCTCTCCTATATTATTTTTATATGTAAGCATCAACTAATATCAATTTATATTTATATACTTAAATGAAAAGTTTTGTTTAACTTTTTCTTCATATTTGAGACTTACTAAAGGAATGTCTCCATCTTTCCATGCTAAATAATTATGTGCTTCTTTTATGTGATCGATCCAAGTGTCATTCTGCATATTACTTTTACAAACACCGCATATAACTTCTTTTTCCTCCGATTTAATTGATCCAATGTCAATAATAGATTTGTCGTTATTAGTTAATGAAGTCTAAAAAGAAAATGTAATATATTCAACATACAGAAAGTAAAAACCTATACTTTATTAACCTATATCAGAAAAATATTTAAAAAAAGCATACTGGTCCAGAGCAGTTGCGCACGTGTTCTAAAAATATTTTAGGATACTTCTTCTTCACGCTGCATTTGGTACAAATCAGACCATCCTGCATTTTTGAGATGGTTTTCAAATGAACACGTACGGCATCTTCGTCCTCTAAATTCTGAAAGCATTAGAAGGCTTTAGAAATCTTTCCTTAACTTTTTTTATATGTTAGTATCGATTAAGTATCAATTGATATTAATATAGATAAAATATTTTGTAAATTTTTTCTTCATGTTTGATACTTACCAAAGGAATTTGTCCATCTTTCCATGCTAAATAATTATGTGCTTCTTTTATGTGATCCATCCAAGTGTCATTATGCATATTACTTTTACAAACACCGCATATAACTTCTTTTTCTTCTGAGTTAATTGAGGGTCTACCAACGTCAATAATAGATTCGTCGTTATTAGTTAATGAAGTCTAAAAAGAAAATGTATATATTCAACTTAGAGATGAAAAACATGCTAAACTTAATTAACTAATTAAGTTTTTCAATTATTTAATCAGAAAATAATTTTAAAAAAGCATACTGGTCCAGAGCAGTTGCGCACGTGTTCCAAAAATATTTTAGGATACTTCTTCTTCACGCTGCATTTGGTACAAATCAGACCGTCCTGCATTTTTGAGATGGTTTTCAAATGATCACGTACAGCATCTTCGTCCTCCATATCCTGAAAAATTAGCAGGTCTTAGAATCGTCTCCTAAATTATTTTTAGATGAATATAATACCGTATTTGAAAGTATTTAAAGTAATGTGCCAATTGTTAGCATCTCTATTTAAAATAAATATGTGCAGGGGGTTTTTACTATTATTAACGAAAAAATATTCATAATTTTTATGATTTTATTTATTTTTTAAGCATTTAACTGCTAGATGTTTAAATCTAAAGAAAAGTTTACTAGAAAAAAATCCACGCGGAACAGGCAGCGGACGGGACTCGAACCCGCATCCTTCGCTATCCGGGCGAATGCACTGACCATTATGCTACCACGGCCCTATTAGCCGCGTCGAAATTTTCCTAGCCTTAAGCTGCAAGGCAGCGCCATCTCTTCGCATTGTAGGTAACCCACAATGTCAAATGAATACTTTTTCAAGTATTAAACATTTGAAAGAAGAAATAGCAATTATAGTTATGATTTTATTTATTTTTTAAGCTTTTAACTGCTAGATGTTCAAATCTAAAGAAAAGTTTACTAGAAAAAAAATCCACGCGGAACAGGCAGCGGACGGGACTCGAACCCGCATCCTTCGCTATCCGGGCGAATGCACTGACCATTATGCTACCACGGCCCTATTAGCCGCATCGAAATTTTCCTAGCCTTAAGCTGCAAGGCAGCGCCATCTCTTCGCATTGTAGGTAACCCACAATGTCAAATGACTACTTTTTCAAGTATTAAACATTTGAAAGAAGAAATAGCAATTATAGTTATGATTTTATTTATTTTTTAAGCATTTAACTGCTAGATGTTTAAATCTAAAGAAAAGTTTACTGGAAAAAAATCCACGCGGTCCAGGCAGTAACCGTTTTCTAGTAAACTTTTCTTTAGATTTATTCATAATTTTACTAAAAACCTACGAAAAAGATAATAGTTTTCTTATCTATTGTCACGTGACCGAAAATGCCTGGGATTGGGGGAGCTCAAAATGACGTCACACGCTAGTAATTCCGGTTAAAGTGACATTACATGTACCGTTTGACTTTTTAATGACAGTTTTGTGACGTCACATACCAGTTAGACGCCATATTGTTCAGAGAAACGTTTTCGCGGCAACTTGAAAATGGAGTTCTTGATACAGTATTTTTACAGATATACACAACAGAATGATGAATATCCACTTTTTATTGACTCCATAAGCATAAGTAAATAACGTAACTATGATCAGTTTTGTTTAACTTTTTCTCCATGTTTGATACTTACTAAAGGAATGTCTCCATCTTTCCATGCTAAATAATTATGGTTTTCTTTTATGTGATCGATCCAAGTGTCATTCTGAATATTATTTTTACAAACACCGCAAATAACTTCTTTCTCTTCTGAGTTCATTGAGGGTCGATCAACATGAGTAATTGATTCATTGTCATCAGGAAATGAAGTCTAAAAAGAAAATGTAACATGTTGAAGATCATTTCAAGTTAGTTCACGACCGCGCAGCATTAAAGCGGTAGGCTTTTGATACTTCGCTGTTTTATAAGCCTGAGCAAGATCACCTAAATCCTTATAAAAACTTGTTTAAACGATACCTGACACGAAAAATTTCATCTTTAAAAGTGTTGGGAGGAAGGTTCCATGTAACAAAAACCCCCTGAATTACAAATAGATTGTAGAATAATGTGATATGATAATGAGGTTGTGAATTGCAAAAAATGTCAGGTAGGGTTTTTTCAGATTCTTTCAGTGACCTTCTTATATCACACAATGATAACAATAAAGTGAACACATAATATACTTACTAGAGGCGGTTCCTCATCCTTCCATGCCAAATTATTGTGAGCCTTTCCTAAATGGGTTTTCCACATTGCTAATGGGACGTCGATTTTGCACACCCCACATTTAACAATTCTACTCTCAGAAACAGCTGTACGACATTTTTTTCTGATCACCTCTTCACCGTCATTGGAAAATGTACTCTGAAATTAAAAAAAATATCGAAAATATATTTAAAATATTAAAAGTGAAACTCAACCAATGGCCACTTGAATGTACACTTTCATTGAAATCGGTTCAGTCATTAAGGAAGAGTTAAATTACATACATACAGACAGAAATAATACGTATACATATATAAAGACAAGATATATACTGAATACCACTGAGCCACAGGAAACCAAATCTCGTAACATGATGCTATTCTGTATGCGTTTACTTTGTGATGAATAAGATAAATATAAATACACACATCAAAAAAGTGTAAGTAACACCAATCGTTTACAGAGACTGTATATTTTATCAATTGGTGTTTTTTTTTCTTAGCGAAGTAGATAGATAACCAATCTTTTTTGTTCTCTAAATATTAATTAATAATATTATTAATTAATATTAATAATTGACAAAGAAATAAATTTATTACAATAATATATTTATTGTTATTTTCTGGAATAATGTGGAAATGCAGCGTATTATTATTACTGACCATTCGAGTACGTTTTCGCCTTTTGTCCGATTTCGTACAGTCTGTGCTTTCACGGCGGCTTCCTTCAATGTCCATTTGAGAATTATCCCAAGTAGCATTGGCATCTAATGTAGTAGTATGGCAGCTATTTTGAATCTGGAAAGATTTACGAATCTTACTAACTGCAGTCAGAGTTTCATACACTTGTTTGATCAACACATGTACTCATGGGCGAGACTTTATGGACATCACAAGATGTGTTTTACATTTTGTGCATTTCTCTCAGTGCTGTACACCGTAGTGTGCAGCGACAACGGAGCCACAGTTTACATGCACGCAACATTTACGTCGCAACAATATGCATGCTATTAGACCAAGAGCTACTGAACCCTCCAAAATATTGCCAGAACAAAACATCGACTTCATCCTGGTACATTACCAGTATCGTCGCCGTCGGCAGGTATATTTTTATGAACTTATATATTCTTTATTAGGTTTCACCTAAGTATTGAGTTGCAATAATAACTGCACAATTAATATTAATATTTAATTGAAATTTTAATCATTACATAATTCATAATATTGTCACAAACGCTCTCGAAACGTAACCGCGAAAGTACTAGAGATCGAATTTGCCAGATCACCGGGGGACGCGATAGAGGTCGAGTAATGCGGCTCGTTCTGAAATGAGGCTTATGCAGTGCGGCGTAAGGGAGGAAGTGCAACGACATCTGCACTTGTTTACAAGTTATGCGTGTTACCTGCGTAGCTATAAGTAGGTATTTCGTACTCGCGGGTGCTAGGTAATTCTCAATTTAACAGGTACTTTCTAGAATGCGTCGATCGGCGTATATAAGCGCGATTGGCGCCGCGCAGAGACAGTTGAGTTTCAACAGCGATTTCGGAGCGAATCCAAAGGCGATCTAAGTGCAACAAAAGTGTTCAAAGTGAGATTGTTTAGAGACTTGTATAGTGAAATACAGTGTTTAGTGAGTGTTTTGTAATTAACATTGTGTGTTAATTGTGTGAACTGTGTGGCGAATAAATAACTGTCAAGCGTGAACTGGCATATAATTTCGAACCCCATCCCGAAACGTAACAATATAAAACAGTGAAATTCTTCGTAAGATTTTACATAGATAAATCGTTGTAACAATTAATTTGAACCGACGGTTTTTTTTTTCAGGTATACGACCTATTTTCCAGTTAGATAAACTGTCTCAATCGCACCACCGAGTTCACGTTACGCCGCTTACTCGCACTTCCATAGCATCTTTCCCCTTACCTGTCATGGACTTATGCTAGCCAGATCCGCCTCTCATTCTACCTACTTACTTTTAATCGCTAATAAAATTATACTAAAACTTTATCTAGTTAAACCAAATGCAAAAAAATATGGCACTACAGACAGACTAAGTTTTTTATAGTTTCGTACAATATGCGTATCAAATGAAAGGACTTTCTACGAATATGAGGTTTTTGAAGTCCTCGATTATATCCAGCGATAGCTAAAAAGTAAAAAATAAATTTAAAAAAAAAACTTTTTATAAACAAGCTTTTATTTAAATGCGCTAAAAAGAATAAACTGCTGAGAATGAGTCAAGTGACGCTGAAGAACATATTAAAGGTAATACACATTTCATAAAAATATATGGAATTGTATATTATTAAGCGCAAGGTCAGAGATGTAATGTTATTATTGATGTATTAAAACTTTGTTTCTGTTTAGATGGTGAAATCAGCACTAAGAATCATATTATGATCATGAAGAAAGTGATGATGATGAAGATTTATTAATTAATTCAAAGACTTGTAATAATAAAAAATATTTTACCCATAACTTTTAATTTCACATCATTTAATTTTGATCAATAACATACCGTAAGATTCATACTACGACTCTTACTCGCACTGCCGCAGCATCTTTCCCCTCGCCTGGCAAGGACTTTTGCTAGCCAGAACCGCCTGGCATTCTACCTACTTACTTAAAATCGCCTAAACAAACACATAATAAAGGACAATGGCGAAATATTTGTAGAAGTAAATCTTTAGCGTCTATAGATGCGATTATCAGAAATGTTAATAAAATAATCTCAAAAGATTTATTAAATAATTGAGGAGGGTTGTCTAAGTCTGGAATTAAAGACTTAGAAAAGGGAAACACAATTGACTACTTTTTTTATTTCTTTTTATTGTGGTTTGTCATCATGCCTTTTGAGCCATTTATTTTAAGTGATTTTAGTAATTAAATCAACTTCAAGTATGTTGTTAGCATGTTTTGCATTGCTTTACGCTTAAACTATATTTAACTATCTATCAAAAATATAGGAAAACATTATTTTTCAATATTATACTGAAACCATAATAAAATATCTCTACAATACAAAAAGAGTATGGCGCCAATTCTAAGACAAAAAACTATAACTGTCACTGTCATGCTTGTCCTCGAATTGTTGTTGTTATCATTAACGTTGTTTGTGCATGCGTATTGCAAATATTTAAAACGACGTAGTCTATTTTTTTCTGAGGTAAGTTTTTTTATGTGACTTGGACTGCTTTTGGACTTTCGAGATTTTCCCCTGCTTCTGTTGAGTAGTGCTTGCCTAAGACTAAGAATCTGATATTTTGGACGACTTCTTGCTGTGGATTTTGGACAAGATTTTGTCCCATACTATGGATTTTATTTCATTGTATCTACTATCTGTGTTATTGTGATTAAAGATGTGGAATAAAATATATATATAAAAGTGTTTCATATTTAATTAATATCCCATTAGAACACTATTAGAAATACTTTTTTATGCTTTATTATTGCAGTGGGCATTTTCAAATTGTTAAGTTCTTCTTATAGCAGAGCCACTGCATTCGAACTCAATAACCCTTGTCTTTTAAGGATTAATAAGTATTTTGACGCGGTCGCTCAGTACCTACGCCGGCTGATCACACATTATAAAAATATCTTTTTTTTCGTAATAATGGCTTATTTACGAAGCGAATTTAATCAATACACCGTCAGTATTTATCCAATGAAGTACCTTAAATGTATAGTGCATTAAAAATAGATCAATATGGCCATTTGAAGCATGTAATTTCAATGAGCATTTTTGAAGATATTACAGATTTAAGATGCAGGGACATAATCTACGGGACCGGTTTACTTTTATAGTTCCGTTCCACGTATTTTTAATTTTGATCTAAAAATACTCTTGAGAATACATTTATAATTCGTTTTTGTATTACTTGGTATGACATCCAAAACCTCAAAGTAGAATATCTATAAATCTAAACTTCCTATAATAAAATAAATACGAGGAATCAAATCGAGAATCTAAACTCTATAATTTAACATGTAATTCATTTAAAGACGCAAAAATAATTTTCAACTAAAAATTGTATGGGAGTTCGCCATTGTCCTTTCAACTTTACAGAATTAAGTTTATTTTTTATGTATATATTACACACCTTTCGGTTCACCTGGCGGGTAATTGTGTTCATCGTAAACGCCTGGCAATTTTTTTTAACTTAAAAATGTATAAACTTAATTGTATAAAAATTTCAAGTTTACAGCAACAAGCTTTTTTTAAATATTTTTTTGACAATTTCAAAAATATAGGGCTTGATGACGTGCAGGTCTGAGGAGTGCACGGCGATGCTTACGGTACCAAGCATGTTATGACTCATCACCATAAGAATTTATAGCCTCACAGACAGACCGTTACTCGGAGCGTTCAGTAGCTCTCCTACTATATATATGCACTAGCTGACCTGGCGAACTTCGTGCCGCTTACAATATGTTTTTTTTCCATTATTTGCGACTATAAATTAAGATGTAAGCTATTCTATATTTCAAGTTGGATCAAACTGCACACGGTGTGAAAATTTCATTAAAATCGTTCGTTATCGGTTAAATAGCTTAGGAGTTTATACCGGACAAACAACGTGACGCGTAATTTATTTAAGTGTATATTGAGATTTAATGTTTTGGGGTGCTAGTTTTCTTCCATTGCTTTTTTTTTAATAGATAGGTCCGACAAATGACTCCACCCCATCTGACGCTAAGTGAAGGTGAAGTCCAGACGCGAAGATAGATATTTTCATCGTATTTTCATTATTGAAATAATGTGATGTTGATTTTGATAGCTTATCAGTAAATCAGTGCATCTAACCCGTTGAAACTTGTTTTATTTAACTTATAATGTTTTTAGAATTTTTGTTTTCCTCATGTAGGTAATTAATTACCGATCTTAGATATAGCAATATTTTTTTTTGACATTTCACTAATTTGTATTCACTTATTTATTTAGTGTGAATATAATATAATCGAATTATTTTAAAGTATCACTAAATGGCTGTCAAAATTATTTCTTTTTTTATTGAATAGGTAATAATGTTACCTTTTTTAAATTAGGGATGAGTGAGAGTATTATAAACGTAAGAGTAAACAAATATAATCAGAAAGCTCCGAACTGCTAAGCTATCAGGAGTTACACGTGTTATTGTGAGTCAACCATAAAAGATAGACATATGCTGTTGCGGGATATTTTTTAGACATATTTATGTAAAATATTTCCGTCATACAGGATTTCTATGTAACTTTAACCATTAAGGCTGCACACGCGACGGAAGCTTAAAAATGGAGTAACTTCTCCCGTTTTCCCAATCCCTTCACTACTCTGCTCCTATTGATTGTAGCGTGATGAAAAGTATACTATAACCTGCCCAGGAGTATGAACAATAATTGTACCAAGTTTCGTTAAAATCCGTCGAGTAGTTTTTGTTTCTATAAGGAACATACACACAGACAGACAAAAATTTTACTGATTGCATTTTTGGCATCAGTATCGATCACTAATCACCCCCTGATAGTTATTTTGAAAATATATTTCATGTACAGAATTGAACTCTCTACAGATTTATTATAAGTATAGATTATACATATTATGTGTCTATCTATGCAACATGTATATGTGTCGCGTACACGCACATCGAATGCACAGTTGTGGTGTATACTCGAAAATGTTGACATCATCATGTGATGACACGGATTTCTTCATTAACTTGGGTCCATCATTATAAGCCTGAGTCAAAACAGGACTCAATATGCAGTGGCACAAAAAACTATGCTTCTATCCTCGAGAGGTTGAAAGAAAGCATTAAAGAAAAAAGGAGGGGAAAATTGACCAAAAGGTGTCTATCTTCTACACGAAAACGCGCCTGTTCACAAGAGCCGTGTTGCGTTGGCTGCCCTGCATAAGGTGGGCTTCGATATTTTAGACCTACCACCCTACAGCCCAGACCTGTCTCCCAGGGATTATTACCTCTTTCCAAAAATGGAAAAAAATACTTTGTTGAAAGAAATTTCCAACTGATGAAGAAGTGAAGGAAGCGGTTTCAGCTTATTTTTCGGACAAAGACAAAACATTTTTTATGAAGGAATACATAAGATGATTGAAAGATGTGGAAAATGTATTAGGGTAGCAGATGAATATATTAAAAAAGAAAAATAATTTTAGTTTTTATTGCTTGCCCTCCATTTCGCGAACTTAAAAGCCCCCTCGTCAGTCTCGGCATCCACTATTACGTTTGGTAAGACGGTGGTATCTTTTTTTACGCTAACATAGAATTTTAGACTTTTTTTTCACATCTTACGGGACCTATAGGGTTTCAATTTCAACTCAATACATAAACGCATTTCTAAGGTTAAGGGTCTTGACAGACAGACTGACTGATATATGGACAAAAACGTGATCCTATAAGGGTTCCGAGTAACGTACACGACTGATGAAAAATCCCGCTTACAAATAGTCCCCGAACAACCGAGGACACTAGTAGACCAAAAAGTACGCGAGTCTCCGAAAAAAATAGTACACATGTGACAAGGCGCAGCAACGCACAGAGCGAAGTTCAGTCCGCGTTGCGCGCTCGATCCAATTTAAAAGATGGACACAGTATTCTCCTCTAATGTCATCTCTTTTTCTTTAATTTCATTAATTACAACACAACGTAATCTGAGAATATTTAATATAACGTTGTGTTTTGAAAATATTTGAAAAGCGCATGCTTGGAAGTAAAATTTACTTCCAAGCATGCGCTTTTCAAATCTTTCGTGGAAAATGTTCGCACATCTTGTGTGTTGTGTCCGTGCCAAGGCCTCGACGGACATTTTCTTCGCGATTCAGGGTCTTTTGTCTTCCACGGACAAAAATATTTCGTCGACGTAGGCCATTAACATGACTTTTGTCTTCTTACCATATTCATATCTACGCTGGTATCCAATGTAACATCGGATGACGTCAAACTGCTTGTCCCACAATCTACATTGGTATCCTGTGAACAAATAAATGACTGGCGTTTATTATCCAAACGGTATACAGACGTCTAATTCAAGCGGAAAATACTTTATATACGCCATGTCTTTTCAAAGATTCTCTCTCACATAGAGATAGATATAGAGATAGAGTTAGATAGGGCCGTTTGCTAGCAACTAAAGAACCTAAGAGATCCTCTCCTGTTTTATAGCACAGTGTGACCTAAACCCGCACTTTACGCACGCTTTTCCGTGACCTAAGTTGCCTATTGCTGCACGGTGTGTAAATGAATTGACCAACTTCACTCATGTAGAAAAAATAAAAGGAAACACATTTAAATGTCATTTGGAGCTTAAAAACTCACAGCAAACAAATGACAAATTAGCGATAGGTTAGGAATTTTCAGTGACAGCCAAAACAAGGAGAAACGGTTAGCTATAATTCATTCTGCGAGAATTGTATCTTTTGGTCGAAAATGAATGAAAACGGTGAAATTGTTCCATTGCTGAATCAGTGCGATCGCTGAATTCTTGTTTGAATTATACGAGTACAAAAAATAAAGCTCATTCCCGTTGTTTAATATATTGTTATGCCAATCATGGAATAAACGTTCATGGATACATTGAAATTCTATTTTGTTGTAATGATATTTGATTTTTTCCTTTTGAAATATACTTTCAGAATGGTAATCTGAACCGGAATTCTTTCTTTTCAGAGTTTGACTTGCAGTCTGTATTGCAATTCTTTGTGATTGCAATACATGAATTTTACTTTCAAAACACTAATCGCACCCCCCCTCTTGCCCGCGTCCGGGGCGTTTAGCACCCTCGCTCCGCTCAGGCGCTAACTTCACGCCGTGCAGTAATAGGCAACTTAGGTCACGCGTATCGTAATGTACTATTAATAAAAATATGATATTTAAATCAGATTATCCTATCAATAATCGCCCGCGTTTTCTAAGTACGCTGCACGCACGGTCGAGGTATTCCCGAAAAGCGGGATTGAGACCTGTCCCGCACGGGACATTTTTTTTGCTTTAAAAACCGGGACGTCCCGCCAAAAATTGGGACGTCTGGCAACGCTGATGCCATCTCTAGTGGGGGTGCTCTGTGCAAGTATTAAATTAACGTAACCAAGTGCGACTAATAGAAATAAATATCATTACTCACCCCATTGCATTTTTTCACATGTTCCAAAAATTTCTTCGCCTGTTTACGCTTTAAACCACATTTATTGCAAACAAGTCCGTCAAAATCTCTCGACATCGACTTAAGATGGCATTGTACTTGGTTTTCGTTCTTCAAATCCTGAAAGAGGTGTTTTATAATAAATTGTATTTCCATCACAGTCGTAAGTCGTAGTCGTAGTCACACTTGCTAAACTGGCTTTCCAAGTCAAATAGTTGTACCCTCGGGGATATTTAACCCAATATGTTTAAACTAGTTAAGTTAGAATGTGTAATAAAGGTGATAATCGGGTAAAGTAAACGAAAATCTAATCAGTCCGTCAGTTAGATTATCAAAAAATAATGGACACATATTTTGTCTTTTGTCAATCAACAAAATAAAGCGCGTCAAAGTTTAGGAATGGGGGCTCGTGACGTCACTTCTAAGTAAAAATTGTATCAAGACGTAACCGAATGCTACATTTTAAATCAATAGATCTCTTTAATTTTTTGATTCTGTGAAAAAGAAAAATACGAGTCCAATACTTTTTGATAATCAATCTCATAATGAAGAAAGAAAAGTTAGTCATCATGCCTATTAAAGGGAATTCAGATAAGAATATTTCTGGGCGGGCTTGGTCCACGCGCTCTGCCATTGGTTGGTTATTTGAAAAGTAAAATAAATAACCACTCTATTATCTATCAAGTTTCCTATCGGTTTAGCAGTTTATTACTGTTTCCCTAGATAGATTATAAACTTGTAGTATTATACGACGGTAAACACATAGCTTCTCATTGTAGGAGTATTACAGAAATATGATATAGGTAGGTATTAGGACATAAAACGATTCACTTACTAAAACGTCCTCCCCGTCTATCCAAGCCAAATAATTATGTTCTATCAAATGTTTGCGCCAACTTAAAGTATTAATATGTTTCTTGCACACTCCACAAATAACGGGATCGGCTGAATCCTTGTAACAGTTTGCCACCTAAAAAATATTCAAAAAGATTTATCAAAAAAAGAATGTATATTTGGTTATGTCTAAGAGTTAGTTATATGTAGTCAGGTGCTTTAATTTGGGAGTTGCCACCCATTTCCTTGAAATATGGTTAACATAGTTGCATAACAATAAGGTCGAAATCTCCAGATCAATATTGCATTGAAATGTAAAGAAGAAATCTTATCATTATGAACATTACTTCAGTTTAACAGAGATATCATATTGACAATGCTAGTAAATGTAATCAAATACACTGCTATTTTATTCATTAACCTAATTTTCACACATAGTCCATTATTTCATATGTAATAATAATTTTCTTTCGTAAACAATAACAAAATAATATCATCAGAAAGAACGCTAGGAGAGGAGATGGTAAGTCGATTGATCAGAAATAATAATTCACTCCTCGGTTTGCATAATATGCCTATGTCATATTATGACATATTATTTTAAACAGTGCATAATTTGGTTGAAGTGCTAGATTTATATTTGCTGTCCGATATTCATACCTTAGATAGGATCCAAATCAAAACAGTTGACTGTACATTATCATTAACAGTGATTCATTAATAGGGACTTTCGGTGTATGCATATGCCCTAGACTTAATATTAAATGCGATTTTATTAAGTACTTGAGAAATATAGTTTTTCTATTTTATATTATACTAGCAGCCACCTGAGAATCTGACCGCATTAATTCTAGTTCAGTGTTGCAAAAGTGAAAATTTAAAAATCGGGTATATTTCCTTGTATTAATTGTGAGAAATCGGGAGATTTTTTGCCAAAATAAAACAACAGTATTTTATGCTACTAATTAAAACCAATTATTAAAAACATAACAAGGTAAAGTTATTGTTAAATATTTATTTTCTTACCACTTCTTACTTGCTATTTAGGAAAAAAAAAACGAGCGAGCCTTACAGTAGTCGCGTATGATGTGTAACATTTGAGACCTCACCTTATATTAGTAAAAAAAAATATAACCTACTACAAAAGGAATAAGCCACTTGAAAATTATGTTCTAAAATCAAATCAAATAGCGCGTGCTTTCGCAACTTCCTGTTACACACTTCCGTCCCATTTCACGAAATCACTCCCACAAATTGCAGGAAAGCGAGAGGAAAGATATTACACATCAAAAATTGAGAATATTAAAATTATAACAAGGTTGATTAATATCTTCAGTACATCTTTTTGTGCGGAGAAGACCAATAATTGATTCAGTGGAGAGTTTGTTGTGCTGCTTAGTTTTCAATGAAACGATTGACGATTACATTCATTCCACGTTTGCAGATGAGAAGTGGTATACTAAGAATATTAAAAACAGACAAATAAATATTTTCAAACATTTGTGAACCATCACCGCATTCCAAGCTAACTCTTGCCCATAACTTTTCAGCGGTGTGGTGTCCTAAACGACGCAATTTCTTGCTATTTCGAAGCAAACGCCATTTCGTATCAATAGTTTGATAATTTTGCTATCTTATAAATTAAGAAATAGTCTACATATTGGTACTATTCACAATACCTTTTTTGACATTTTCAAAAATGGCCCCCAAATACAAATTTTATATTTCTTTGCATAGCAACACTATTATGAAGTGATAAGTAATAGGCTAATATATCTCAGAACAGTACAGTAGATTCGCGAAACAACCCGAAGTAATTCTTCATCAAACAATAATAAACTCTATTAAAGGGCATTTCGGTGTAATATATTTTGTGTGTATTGAGAGTTTGAGAGGCCACTTATGATTTTTTGAGAAACCCCCTTGCCAAAGAGAATATAATTTTTACCTACTCGTGAATTGGTTTAGTGTTACCAGGTCACTTTTGGTGTAGTCGTCTTTAGAATGCTAAATAATAGTACAAGTTTTACATAATAATAAAACTTGTATTATGGAGCAGAGACGATGCACGGCATCTGTGAGAGTGCGTCGACTTCCGGTCTAGCGTATTCCATTAATTTTAATTACCGCCATTGTCGTTGCTATGGTAACTTCCTTTAAATTAATACTTTAAAAGACTTACTTCCGTTTGGCGCCATTTGAGTCACCTTAAAAGTTGTTGGTGCGCAGTGTTCTCATAGAAGTCTCTCACCAGGAGGCCTTAATTGGATGCTGTGCATCGTCTATGCTCCATAATACAAGTTTTATTATTATGTAAAACTTGTACTATTATCGGCATGTGACGATGCACAGCATCTGTGAGAGACGTGTTTATTAGCTCCTTTTGACTATGTATGATGATGACGCTATGTGATGATGATTACCAATCTGGTTTATATAAAATATACCTGTAACATGTCTGGTACATATATGTCTTAGTCTTAGTAGAACGGCGGGCTGTTTCCGCAACTCGACACCCAGTGCCTATTTTGCGTGGGGATAGGCATCAGTCCTGCCATCCCAGCTCCTCCAAAAAGCTCAGCAATCCCCGGATGTTGCTGCAGGCTTCTACTAGTGTCCGCGGGCTTCCCATTAGAGAAGTCCTTTGTCTTGCAACACCTCTGCACTCCAGCAGAACATGGGCGCTCGTCTCCTCTTCCTCCAAGCAGACTCTGCACAGAGGGCTGTCAGAAATACCTATATTATAAAGGTGTTTGTTGAAGAAGCCGTGACCCGTGAGTATACCCACGATTTGTTTCAGGGCTTGTCTAGGTAGTCGGATTAACTTACGTGATAGCTGCTGGTTTACCATAGGAACGGCTTCCCTAGCTTGCCTGCAGTCAGTGTGTTTTGCCCAATATTCATCGTGTTGTCGTTGACAGCGCTCCCTTATCCAGGTTCTCAACTGTCGATAAGGTATGGGTACAATTGGCTCCGGGCCAATGGCCGTCCTGCTGGACCCCTCTCTAGCCAGGCAGTCAGCCGCATCGTTACCCCTTGAGCCGCTGTGTCCTTTAATCCATTGTAAGGTCAGTTTATTGTCATTACATATATTGGACAACTTACAGTGGCATTCGTAAATTAACCCTGATGTCATTATATTGTTGTCTAGTGCCTGTAGGACAGAAGCGCTGTCAGAGAGAATACGAATATGTTTTCCTCTTACCCCGCGGCAGTCTATCGCCTCTGCGGCTCTAATGATGCCCACACACTCTGCCTGGAAGACTGTGTTATGTGTTCCCAATGCTGTTGAGATGTGTATATTTAGGTCTTCGAAGAAGACTTCAAGTAATTATTTGCGTGTAATCAATAATAATATAACAAAATTATCCTTACAGATCTAACATTGATTTATTTAGAGAAAAGAAAAGTAATATTACGTGTATGACATTTCCTATTAGATCTGACAAACATTTTCATTGAATTGGTTCGAAGTTTTTAATCAAGGCATTACTTGTATTAGCCAAATCAGGTTTGCTTTCAATTTGTCTAAAATAAATTTTGCAAAAGTATTTTCACTTCGCCAATTACCCCGTGAAAGAATATCATCCCACCAATTCAACGAAGCTACAGCGGAGCGTACACTACCTGGGGACGCTTTGATACCAGCATCCATAAATACAGTTTTTATCCAGTTAGCGATAAGGGTTCTAGTGGCTGCTTTTCTTTCGCCAGTGATGGAAATAAATAAGGCGTTGTTACACTCCGCTGTTCTTCTCCGCTCACCCAGTTCTGACACTTTACGCAACCAAAACACTGGACAAATATTTTTATTTGTGTTATTTGTCAGTTTCCAACCTGACTGTCTAAATAGTGCGGTGTCCGTTTTAGAACCAAATATAGGACATAATATTATATGGTCACCCATGTCCTTAAAGTGTTCAGGAGAACTTTAGCAATGTCAAATCATGGACTCTTCTACCAGATGCCAAAAGCAATATACAAGCTAGTCTACGGGAAGCTTCAAACAGGTTTAGCCTGACAGGTGAATTAGAACTTAACCATGAAATTCAGAACGATTCCAAATAAGAGCCTTTTCTTTTACAGGCTGTTGCAAGGAAATTGCTTTGAGCATATGTTTTATCAAAAAATTTGAATTTAGATCCTCTCTGGGAAGGCCTAGAGTTAAAATAACGGATTTATGCAACAGTATAGTGGAGTATGACATTTTTTTCTGTAAGTGCAAATAAGCCAAATATTTTGAAAGAGAACTGCTATTAGGATGTTTATAATCAAAAACGTTGTTCTTACACCATTGAGTCCAACAAAGCCAGGCTGGTCTATATGTCTTGAGAGTAGATTCCCTCCAGCTTTGCTTGAGTAGTGACTTCTCACCCCCAACTTTCCATACTAAAAGTTGCATATCCTGGACCTGAGGAGGTGGTAGCCTTGTCATCTGGTCTATTAGGACCTAATGAAGGTTGTCCACTCTGATGGGACGTGTCAAAGCTCGTTGGCGCAGGTCGGGTAGCCAGTAAGCTCGTTTCCAGAGTGGTGCTACTAAAAGGAACGTACTTCTTGCTTGGTTCAGATGATGTAGTACTCTGGGCACCAGGGAAGGCGGTGGAAGACCCATGCTAATTTGAAATTCCAGCTTTTGCTGAAGGCGTTGCAGAAAGCTCGCAACCTTGGGTACATAAGCTAGTACCACCTTCGTGTCCTTTGACGCAAAGAGATCTATCTCTGGAGTGCCAAACCTCTGAAATATCGTTTCTTAAGCTTCTGGTTGCAGATGCCTTTCCGCAGATTTCTTGCCCCTGGATAGACTGGCTGCAATCTGATTGTATCGTCCAGGAAGGTATTCCGCCGCGAGTATTATCTTCGATCGGTCTAGTACTTGAAAAAGATTGTGTTTCAAATCCAGTAGTGCTTCTGAATGCGTCCCTTACTCGTTTCGAACATAAGCAAGTACGGTCCGATTGTCCGATTGGAGAATTACGTGTCGACCCTTTAGAATGTGTTTGAAGTATTTCACTGCTGATATTATCGCAAACATCTCCTTTAAGTTGCAATGCCAACGAGTTTGATTTTGGTTCCACTTGCCTGCTATCGAGTGATCGTCTAGCTGAGCTCCCCAACCGTAATCCGCAGCATCCG